CTAATCTTTCTAAACAGGAAGATATAGGTATTTTCTGCTTTGGAATGTTTTTGCTAGGTGTTTTCCTAATGGGTTCCCAAGTTTCTTGTCTATAATGTTACTAAATTTTACGTAGCCCTGGGCACCTTGCCTCCAAAAACAGTGTCCTGTCATTCTTTGCAAAGTCCCTGCTCGGGGACTACCAACTCTATGAAAATGTCAAGCCCGTGCTGCCTAGCACAGGGTCCCAGATAACGGCGTAACTCAGTCCCTCAGCTGCTCTTCACCGCGATCCATTTCTGGTTTAACAGTTTTCAGGCCGCCCGTGTACTTACCACTTTGGGGGGTTGCTGTCCTGCTGACTGTGTGCAGCTTTGGCCTCGTTTGGCCGCTGTTGGCTGCCAGCCCAAGTGCTTTGCCCCTGCAGCCTCTGCTGTTTCACACTGTGGCTTTCTGCCCCATGCCTCTTGCCGAGTCCTCTGCCCCTGCGCTGTTCAGCTGTAGCCCACAGCTTCCCTGAGTAGCCTTTTCTTGCTTCTCGCTTGTGTGAATCCCAAAAGGGGTGGAGCTGAACATTAAGCAACTACAACTGAACAGGTATTATTCATTTTCTTACTGTGGCATTCCTAGCCAATCACAGCTGTATATTAAAACTGTCTTGAGTGCTATTTCAGAGTCGGCGTTTCATTAAAATGTTAGGTCGGTAACCATTGATTTTTCTAGTCTGAGAAAAATGTTGCGTATTGCCTGTGCTACCAAAGGTCTTGCACCAAAGCAGCAAGGAATGCAGGAAAGAATTGGAGAGGAAGGAACCAGATTCTAACATAGACTCATGCTGCTCTTTTCCAAGAAGATGGACTCTCTAATTCCCTACCCACTTTCCTACGTACTCTCTGGTTTTTAGCAGAAGAGCCTAGTAACTTACTTCAAAGAGGTAGAAATGGAAAGCCCCTTTAAAAAACCTACTGCTTTTTTATTTTGAGTATAGTCTTGAAAGCCCTAGCCATTTCTCTTGCATAAAAGAACTATTAACTGTGTTGCATTGAAATCTGTTAAAAACCCAAAGATTTCAGAATGTGCACTGAAACACATTTTTTTGTTTTGCTTCTGCTTTCCATTATTATTTTAGAATGACAAAAAAGATTCTGCAAGACATCTGTAAACAGCAGAAATTATACTTGACCCCATACTTAAATGATACGCTTTACTTGCATTACAAAGGTAAGATGTGGACAAGACTGCTTAGATTTATCATTCTAAGTAGCATTTTAGCAGAAAATCTGTTTTATAACTGAAGTAAGGTATCTAATAATTCTTTTAAATTAGAAACATAATTTAATTTTTTATAATAATGAAATTGTGAAACAAGATGAGTCAATATGAAGGTAGAAAAGTATTTTTTATAATAATGAAATTGTGAAACAAGATGAGTCAATATGAAGGTAGAAAAGTGAACTGATTGTAGACCTAATTCACTTTGTGGAGTCATTCAAAGGATCAATAGGAATCAAGGGCCACATTCCCCCCCCCCCCCCCCCCCCCCAAAACAGTAGCCTTTGAGAAATGTCTTAAAATACTGGTCTGGGTTGCATTCAGAGGAAAATATATGTACTTCTTCTTAAATGTGTTTGTATAAAGAAGCTGTTTTCTGGCTTTGGGGACTTTTTTTACTGCCAAATAAAAATGGTCAGGAAGAAAACGAACAGTAAAGACTTGCTGCATGTTCTCAAATACTACTGAAAGAAAAAGAAATTGCTAGAACGAACATGCATCATCCTCTTGTGATCTTTGAGCGGGTTTTTGCATGATACAGTTAGCTGGTTCAGATTAGCATAAGAATTGTTTTAAATAAATAGGACTTGCTAAATCTACCATCTACGTTTGGCCTTGGTTTTGCTATTTTCTCAATATGTATTATTTGAGCATCTAAAGGGCTGCACGAGATATAAACCAGGATAGGTACCTGTATGTTTTTGCCTTTTATGGGCCAGGTACCGTACCATTAATTCAGCGGAAATATTGCCAGCAACTTGAGTACAAGTGTTCTCACAGGCTGTTTCAGCAGCACTGGTTTAATGAAGTTTATTCTTCCAAAGACTTGTTTTCAGCTAATGCAATTTCATTTTAAAATGTCTTTTTCTGCAGGATTTGACCGCCTGGAGAACCTTGAAGAGTATACTGGATTGAAGTGTTTATGGCTGGAATGCAATGGCTTAACAAAAATCGAGAATTTGGAGGCTCTGACAGAGTTGCGTTGCCTCTACTTGCAACTCAATTTAATTAACAAAATTGAAAACCTTGAACCCTTGCAAAAGCTGGATTCCCTCAATATCAGTAACAACTACGTTAAGACCATTGAGAATCTCTGTAAGAACTGTTGGTGCAACATGTTTTAACTTACAATGAGCCCATATTCCTAAGCTTTGACTAAGCTAAGCTATTATTAGTGGCACTAGTTTCAAGGGGTTTTTTAATTCATGTTAGAATTTTGGACAATATCCCATACCAAAGTCCACAAGGCTTCTACTGAAGAGTCAAACGTATTTTGCAATTTAAATAGATGAGAAAACAGAAAAGACATAGTAATTATTTTCATGTGCATACCTAGGACAATTAAGTAGTTTTTCCTCACTTCTTAATACCATCTAAGTACTTATCTGTGTTGCAGACAGGCTGGCAATCCAGTTTTCACCATTTACTTTACAGTTATGATGTGCTTTGGCAGTTGCAGACATGATTACCAAATCTTTTATGTCTGTTAAAGGATTTATTCCATCTTCAGCAGAAAATAAAAAAGAATTCCTCTACATTATCATTTGTGTACATTGGGACTAATTTGAAACACAAGCTCTTGCTTTAGTGTAACTGACTGGTTTGAAACCAATTAAAAACAACCACCATCCTAAAAACAAACAACTGTTTTTCCTGGGGTGAAGAAAGCAGCTTTGGAGGCCTAGCCAAAAAGCGCATATAGCAGAACAACAAATTTAGGAAAAAGTTCCCCACAATTCAATAGAAACAATTATTTTGACAATGCAGTTTTCTACTTGCTCCAGAAAACCCTCTGTGAAGCGATGACTCTTACCTTTCCTTTCATTGTACCGTTCTTGTCTGACAGCTTGTCTGAAAGTCCTGCAGACTCTGCAGATTGCTCACAATAAGTTACAAACAGTGGAAGACATACAGCACTTGCAAGAATGCCCAAGTATTTCTGTTCTCGATCTTTCCCACAACAATCTAAGTGATCCAAGCATTGTAACTATTCTGGAGACCATGCCTAATTTGGTAAGCTGAATGGAGCTGAGGGTTTGTATCATGTATACGGGTGAATCCCATTAAATGGTTTTGTCGGGTAGTCCAGTGCACAATAGGTCATCGTCTAAAAGAAACGTTGTTAAACATTATTTGTTTTTTGTAGATTACCTGTAACACCCAGGATGTTTTATTCACTTCTTTTTTTTGAAATGATAGAGAAAGCGCATATCCAGACTGGGATTTTTTTTTGCTACTCAACATTAAAAATTGCTTCCTTTGTTTCTCTAGCATGGGCTGAATTTGATGGGAAACCAAGTGATAAAGAAAATTGCTAATTATAGAAAAACACTTATTGTTCGACTAAAACTACTAACATTTCTGGATGACAGACCAGTTTTCCCAAAGGATAGGTAAGAAACAGAGCCATCTTCTTTACACAGCAATAAAGCTCAAATGCTAATGATCACTCATCAATCTTTTGTCAATATTGTCATGGACGGAAAGGAAAAGTGACCGGTATAATTTATTAAGGGTGGGTGACTTTGAGTACAGGAGTATTATACTATAGAGTTCTACATCTAACATACCTAGAAAAAACCATGTCTTTTTTCACAAGAGAATTAATTCTCAAACAGAATTGTTTTACGCCAAGCCTGTAGACCAGAGGCAAATCCCGATTTCAACAGAAACTGAACGGGTGTCTGGAAAAGCAGAGCCAAGATCAGCACTCCTGGCAGATCTCTGATTGTATAATCACCAGCATTTGGATATCTTTGTTTCTTTCGTTGCAGTTCCACGCACAAGATAAGATACACGTGTATCCCTGTTGCATAAGGGATTGTCACTGCTGTATGCTTTTTTTCTCTTGCAGCCATATTATGCTGTTGCAAGCTATTTTAAATGTCTCTCTCATTATAAAGATGGGCTTTGATAGCTGTATTACAGTGAGCTTTTGTGTTTTCATTAGAGCCTGTGCAGAAGCCTGGGCTGTTGGAGGGCTTGAAGCTGAGAAAGCAGAAAGGGAAAAATGGGAAACCAGAGAGAGAAAAAAAATCCAAGATAGCATTGATGCTTTAGCAGCAATCCGGCAAAAAGCAGAGGAAAAGAAAAGACAAAAGTATACGGAAGAAAGAGATACAAGTGCAAAATGTGGAAATGGAGATGCAACAGACATCCTAGAAGGTTTGTGGTTACTATTTTGGAAGATGTCTGTGTCTACTTCAATTTGAATGTTTAAAATAAATGAATAGTTCCTAAATGTTCAGAAGCAGGCTGATGCAATTTTTGGAATATATTTATGACTCTTCTTTTCCCATCCTAAATACTTTATTAATCTTGGTGCATCTTAGGTTAACCACAAGGATTTTAAGCAATCATCACCTTTCTCACTGCTGATCAAACAAAAAAACCAACAAATCGCTTTCTGTCCCAGCATTTCAAGCTCTTCTGCTCTTCACCAGAGCAACCCGGTGCTAGTCAGGGCAATCATGGTTCCAGCAGGCATTCATGGGTGGAGGCAGGCAGTTACACCCCAAGAGTGGTATCTCCCCAAGAAGCAGAACGGGGCTGGCTTCAGGCACGTGGGCTCCAGTAAGACCCAGTGATAACTGCCTCACCAGTCCCCATCCAGGCACCTCTCCACTGCTGCGTTCGCTAACAGTAAGAGCTTCAGACTAGAGCCTACAGCAGTGGTAATACAGGCAGTAAGAGGAAGGTCTTTAATCGTTTGCTTCACTTACCGCCCTTTTTTATGCTACAAATTCTCCTGTCACATTATTCAAGGAGGCATCTGTTTACGACCAGTAATAGGTCCCAACCTAACCTTTCTAGCGAAGTACGCCTGTTTCAGGATAAACAGGACTGAAGCCAAATAAGAAGGCAGTACTACAGTGCAGAGGAGTGTTTTATCTATCTGTCTGATAAGTTTTGGGGTTTCACAGGCTCTGAAATCAAACATGGTTGACTAACCAGTAAAACTTTTTCTGCAAGCAGGTAGATTGCATAAAGGAGAGGATAACTTCAGCATTTGTCACTGATCCATCAAAATGCTCAAGCATATATTTAAATATGTAGGCGCTTGTGAGTCTTTTCAAACTTAACTATAGATACCAAACAGTTATTTACTATAGTGTTTTCTCTAGATGAGTTTTTTGCTGCGGAACTGTATTTGCTAGGGAGCTGAGATGGGAAAACCCACAACATTGCTGCAATCTTGGGAGGACTACTGATCCATGAATAGCTGCTCAAACAAAATAGGAGCTTTTGGTGCATATTTTAGGCCAAACTATTAAGACCATATAGTGAAGTTTGGATATTTAGAATGAGTCATGGTAGGTTAATTCTGCAGTTTTAATGAACTTGTTTCTTCTGTAGGAGCACCTGCAAATTCAGATGACAGTGATGGAACTTCTAATACATCAGAGACTTCAAATATATCAGAAGAGGAAGAAACTCAAGAGAAGACTAAGAAATTTAGAAATGAATGTTTTGATGCTTGTGATGAAATGATAACACTTCTACCAAATAGGGGAGGTAACACAGATTTCACATCTGGAAATATCCCTGCTAGAATTCAAGAGGATGCACAAGAATCAAACTCTTGCAAACGCTCAAACTTCAACAAGCAGACAGACGGTAATGTACACAGTGAAAAATCAAACCAAACTGAGGATGCAGAGATGATGAGCCAAACTCTGTCTTAGTGTAGCACCGCCTCTGCCGTGATTCAAACCAGCTGATTCATAGATAAGAACATCCCATTAGATTTCCACAGTGACTAGTTGACAATCAAGTAATACTGGATAAAATATTCTTTAAATACAACAAACAAAAAAAATTCTGAGGGCTCAACCTGCAGCTCCTGCTATATAAAGGTGGAATTCCACTTCTCATATGTGCCAGGTTTAGCGACAGGACAGCTTACAGGCTTCCCTTGCTCCTACATAAACTGTGCGGTCTGCCTGCCAGCAGAAACTGGATGTCACCCTAGAGGTGGTTTTGTGCCTTCACACATGGAAGAATGCTTTTGTAGCTTTGTGGAATACGTTATTGCAAAATGCAAATATTAATTTATACAATATAAGGGAGACCAAGAATATGATGGAAAGACAAAGAGCTGGATTCAGCTGTGAACTTTGCAATGGTAGTCAGGTCCCAGCAGTTTGGTTTTGCGGTGCTTGCTGTTGCAATATAGAAAGTCTTTTATTCAGTTAGTTCTCTGCAACTGACTATTGTGTATTCTTTAGATCTGCCAAGAGAGAAGGCAGCTACTGAAAAGGCCGTGCTTCCTGAACTGGATGAACATGCTGAAATTGAACAGGTCAAGTTGGAGACAGCAGAGAAACTTTATCTTGATGTATGTATTGGATTCAGATTTTGTGAAGTTCGGATCTGGGTATTGTCCGCTCCCAAATTAATTCTTGTAACATCCTGGCTAGTAAAACTATGTGGCCAGGTTTCTAAGAAAGTTCTACTATTAGGAAAAGTAAAAAGAAAGAAAGAAAGAAAGAAAAAAACCTAAAAAGTAAAGTTGTAAGGGTATTCATTCTCTCCAGTGTAGCATGTGTAAAGAATTTATCACCGCTTCCAAAGTTTATTTTGTCCTTTGGCCATAAATCACCTGAAGTTGACCTTCTATCTCTGTGATTTCTCTGGAAAAGTTAATGAGGGCTCTCATTTAAAAAAACAGAAGTCACAACAAAAATAATCTAGTGGATACATGCATCCTCTTAGGCAAAACTCAAATGAAATATGCAGTTGAAAATGTGAACTATTGCAGAAAAAGCGTAAGGAAGAAATAGCCACCCACTCATTGTAAATGTTAGCTAGCAGTATTAGATACTATAAATTAATTCTCAAAATACAACTTTTAGGTATATTTCCAAGAAAAGCAGAATGCGCATTATTCAGGTCTGTAACAAGCGACTGACATTAGTAATATAGTCTTCTGTTATCTAAGATTTCATCTGATGATGCAAACATTTAAACATGTTTAACCACATTTAACCATGAGAAAGGCGTGGATGCCACTGAAAAATACAATCTCACTTCAAAGGAGAACTATTCAATATGTCCTGATTATGACACTGCTGCTAAACTGACGGCGTCAGATTATGACATAACTAGCAATAACAAACTTCTGAGCTTATGATTTCCCAGAGCACTTAATGGACTCTTTGATCCCTTGTACTGCCACTGTTAAGGAAATTCTTACTGGAGTGTTTTAGCAAAGTCTCTTATATCTTTTCTGTGCTCTTAATTTCCCAGGAAAAAAATTCCATCCTGTTATCGAAGGGCCCAACTCACTGCTTCAGTAGAGGGCTTGCTGCTGCATCCTCCTGTTTGGCTGTTTTTAATAATAGGTTTAACAAGGATAGTAGAGAGAGCTGGCAGCAATTCCAAGTATATACAATATTATTTCTATAAGCAGGTCTTGCAGGGTCTGAAATAAAAGCTTTAAATAAATAACGATACCGTAGGTACCCACAATGCGAAGATCTCATAGATTCAGCATTTGTTTTTCCCTTGGTGCTATATGGCACCATAGCACGCTCCTTTGCACAAACTTTAACGGAGTATAAAAGGAACTCTTCAGCATAGGTGCATGGGGTTTCTTTTGACACGTAAAAAGTGTGACTATTCTAATTCTACAGAAGAAAAAACAAACCCAAATCACATACTAATACATGTTTCAGTTGTCTATGCTACTTTGTTCTCCAACTGATGTCTAGTGACGGAAAGAGCTTCTCGCAACAACCTCCGATACTTACGCTATTGCAGATTTTCCAAAGAGACTTAGCGCTGCCATAGCAGGGAATGGCCGCGAAGGTGCCAATGGTGACAAGCGCTGGAGCAGCACCGGCGTCTTTATTCACATCCTGGAGTCAGTGGATGGTCTCAGTAGTAATATAAGGGAGAAGACTGGAGGAGGATTTGTAATGCGGTGGTTATGACATCCCTCTGTCAAGCAGAAACAAGCCCATGTTGCTGCATATGCCTTGGCGGTGTTTGAACTACATTCTGCATACCTAAACCAGGATAACTTTTAGTAAGCGATTTTGGTTTGATCTGCACATGCACCCTGCTGATTGGAACAAGACTAACAGCTATTTCACTTCCCTATTGACATCAGATTCTACCCACCAACATTAGTCTCAAATCTTAATTTGTGTATTTTTTATTATATACTTAGAAAACCATGTGACTTCAGGACATGCTGCACTAGCTACAACCATATCAGGAAACAAAGTTCCTTTGTTAATTTTAATTCTGTAATAATCTTCACTATGCAAGACAGTACAGATTAGATGTTCTTGATGCTACCATGCCAAGCAGCTTGCTACAAAATCATTAAGCTCTAAAACCAAAAGGAGATGCTTTTACCAGTATTGAGCTACATTAAAGAATTGGCAAAAAGGTATCACTTCTACCTGTGATTTTGTATGCCCACCCTCTATTTTTGCTTTCATGTCAGCAAGTGGCAGTTATCTTAGATAATATTTTCTAATGGAAAGCTGAAATGATTGGACCTGAGGAAAAACAGTTCTCAGCAAGTTTCCAGTTCTATATCCTTAATTATGAGGCATTCACAGTAAAACATAGTTTTATTAGATGTATTTCGGTTAACCGAGTTTACTGATTCACTTTCAGGTAGACTGCAGATCTTGATTTGGCTCTTACCCGTAAAGATGGGTTGCAGTTGAGGTTAAGTCTATTGAATAGACAAGAAACAGCTAAGAGACATAAACCATGTTTGCTTTTAAAATCCTGTTAATGCCTTGCTGTTTATCCTTTTATCTTCCTTCCCCCCCCCCTAATCATACAGTATAGTAGAAAATAGCATTCAGTCTGACATTAAGGTTATTGCCTTCCCATCTGCTATTTCTGGAGACGGATGAATTTTCCCTTTTCCCACGTGCTTAACAGAGGAAACCGTCATCTGTGAGAGGATGACAGCGCAGCGTTCCTGGCTGTGGCCTCTTATCCTGAAAAGCATTGCTTTGAAGAAGATTCCCCATGAGACAGAGATGTCATATTTTATCGGTTAGAGTAGCTTTTCCCACTGATTAATGATCTGGTGATTGTCCTCAGGAACTGCCTGATTTAGAAGATATAGATGTAAATGAATTTCCCCCAGAAGAGGAAATCTTTGGTCAAAAGGTAAGATTCTGATTGATTCCAGCGATGACGCTTCCCTAAACACATTTACAAATGTTTTGCAAAATGACGATAATCTAAGTTGTGAAATGCTGTTTTGGGAGATGCAATCAGTTATGCATTTATAAACTAAATCAGATGTTTCAGCAGATCTTCTCTGTCTACTTGCGAATATTTTTTTAATTTGATTTTTTTATATTATTGTGTTGCAAAAATAGGAGAATGAAAAGCTAAGATTAAGTAATGCAACAGTTAAATAAGATTAATTTCTTAGTAGCATGTAGTGTTTTAATGAAGATTACTCTTAAAATATACTTTACCAGTACTAATATGCTGCAAAGGACTGAACAGATAGAACAACTGCCTGCTACTGAATAAAATCAGGCTTTTCAACTGAAAACACAGAGAGATTGCAACTCCTCTGCTCCACTTGGGGTTAGGCAGATACAAGGCAGTTCATGCCCACATTAGCGTTATGCTGTGCTCAAACTGATCTTTTAGGCAAAAGCCTATAAACAGAAGAGAAAAAAGGAAAAGAAAACAACAAAGATTAAGAGCACAGCTTTGATTCTAGTGCTGATGTTGACTCATACTTGCCTTGTTGGAGACAGAGGCTGATACAGCACATGTTTTTACAAGTCCCTCCAAGATAATGCAAACTTTTCCTACAGTTAGTGTAAGGTGTGGAATTTACTTGATCTTTTAGTCACACGCTCATAACAGTGTTGCAAAATGTCTTGGCCAACGAAGCCTCCAATTAAAAGAAGATAAGGGAAGGGAACAAAGAAGATTATTGAAGGAGTAAGTGTTAGCAGCTCTCACGCTCCGAAGGGTGTTCAGTTCTTAACTGGAGTCAGATGAAGATGTTAGTCGGGCCCCTCTGTTTGGAGGTAAAGTAATAGAGCTGAGGCCTCACACTGCTAAATTGCTGAAATAGGTCTTCTTTTGATGAACTGTTAATAGTTTATGGTCAGTTCATCGCTAATGCCTGAGAAACAGTTAACCCAAGATTCATCCACAAAGAAGCAGAACTATGGGTATGAAGCACGTTCCGTACATTCTGGGAGAACAGCACATCAAAGCTGACAGCTGTTACGTGGATCCGAGAGATATGTACCATCTTTTACATCTAGAGTAATGTATTTTCAATTACATTTTCTACCTTTACAGCAGGAATATCACCCAAAGATTGAAATAATTTCTGAAATGACAAACGACAGCGATTCTGCAGTAGAGGAAAACAATAAAAGCATGTTTGAGAATTCAGTAGGAGAAGAAGTTCCAACAGCAATTTTTTCAAATGTGTGTAAGATACATAGAGAGCATGAAAAGGACCACTTAAGACCCCTTGTTGAAAGCTTCTTTACAGAGCCTGCTAATTCCGAAAGATACCTGGAGATCAAAGATAAACAGGCAACCCCCTCGAAACCCTTGATACAAGAGGTTATCACTGAGCCCAAGGATAATCTACTGTTGTCACTAGTCTGCAGTCGACCAGATGACCCAAGCCCATGGGAAGAGGATGGTAAGATTACAGTAATTATAATGAATCACAGAGAAAAAAGAGGGGTGGCACATACACACTAAAAGGAAGGATTTGTCCAGCTCTTGTTGAAAAAATTTTCAATCTACTGTTAGTTAACAATCACCTCTTCCTTTTATTTATGTGGGAATCATAATAAATTAGGAATTAAAATATTATTTTCTCTTTTTCTACACAGAAGTTCTGGCTGAGTTTTATATAAATGGTTTTAAAAAAAATGGGCTCTACATTTCTTTTTCCAATATTAAAGACTACCAGGGAGTTTCATCTGCCTTTTGCCTTCACGCTTTTAACAGGGAACGTCAGTGACGGAGAAGTACAGTGCCTGGCTGAGGGTGAAGGATGTCCTCACGAAGCACAAGATGACAAGGACAGTGAGAGTGGATTAGATTAATCACTTTGGAAAAAAAACCAGACCAGATCTGGAGCACCGTGCCTGGCTGACTGCATGCGGTTTTTCTCAAAATGCAGAGCTCGGCAATGGGACCGTTAGTTAAAACTGACGTAACAGTTACTGTGATATAAAAACCACCGCCTTCAACAGGAGGACTTAGTGTTTCAGTCAGTCAGAGGCTGCTGCGGCCTCCAGCGTCTGACCTGCAGGGCAGAAGTTTTGGTTGTGCCAGTGTGAAAAAAGCGCATAATCCTCTGTAACCCGCAGGTAAGAAGCGCCTTGTGTTCCCACGGCCAAAGCTGCCGGAGATCCCTCGGCCCCCAAGCTCTTCAGGGCAGCTGGCAGCATTCACTGCTTTGAAAGTGAGGGCACTACTGTTTTAAGGTTAAATTCCACTCTCTTAAGTAATTTTTTTCCCTTGCATCCTTCTAGGAATTACTTAGTTAAATGTTTCTGTCTTAAGGTTTCATTACATACATAGTTTCAATCCATAATGTAACGTGTTTCTGTCATTTGAACTACATAAAGATTCTACTTGTAACCAAATACATTTTTAACTCCTATCATCTCCTTACCAGTATATGTCATACCAGATGGACTTCAATGACAAATGGAGATTGCTTCTTAACATGATATTTTACAGATCTGCTATTCATAGACATGACGATTGTTTATGCAAAAACAGATGCAGAAAGTGTCCATGCATGAAGAATCTGGTTTTACCTTTTAGGGCAATCTGTGATGAAGCATGTACTTATATCTGTCATTTTCATAATTTTTCCTTGTGATATACCTCTTAGGATCCGGATTTTGAATATAACAGGAAAATAACCAGCCAGTCAGTAGCGGCAGAAAGACAGCTTTGCTGTAGAAAGCCAACCCAAGGAATTCTTCTCGTTAGCTTCTCTTTTACATCACAGTGGTAGTCTTGAGCCAAAGTGAAATGGAGGATAACAGCAGTGATGCCTCAGCCAGGTTCTCTCTTCTTCCCTTCCGTGTTTTTTTTTTTTTTTCCCTTCTCCCCCTTCTGAGCTAGAGAATAACATTCAAGGAAGTGGAGATTGCTCAAGAGCAGTGCTTCCTCTGCGACACCGCAAAAAAAGAGTTGGGGGAAATGGGACAACTCTTGGCCAATTCTGCTGAGGCATTAACGGCTCTCATTTTCCTAACACAGAAGCGGCTGTGCTATTCAGATAAAAAAAAATAATTGTACACTGTTTAAGCACATCATAAAAGAGTTGGCCTCATCTTCAAGGGCTGACGTTGTTTTTACGATATAACGAACAATCGCAACATCAGGAATAAGCTAGGCTTTAAGTGACCTCACTTCATTAAGCCGTACGCAAGTTTAGGTGGATGTCTTTTTTCATATTTCTGTAAATCTCTAATAATTTGTAGTAAATAGAATTGAACAGGTCTTGTAGATGTGCACATTTAAAGAAAAAAAATACTACCGTGGGCTTGTTGAAAAGATTTATTTCCAATTAGCTGGGCTTAGGTGCCATCTGGTGGTAAGAGAACTGGTCCTAACCATAACACAAAATAATCATAAAAGCCCTCATGGAAGACAGCACAAATCGCTTGAAACTTCAGCCATTTTCCACTTTCCATCAGTAAAAACACGCTGGTAAAATCCTTGGCCTCCAGGAAAGGGCAGGAGGATGAGCAAGGGCTTGTGGAGAACAGGCTCGTTCAAAAGCGTCTTCACAGGAATCTTCTCTTTAGAAAGCTGCAAATGCTGCCAACAACATTTGTGAGCTCGGTCCTAAAAAATATCTGCTTCCCTTTTCTGAAAGAAACCTGGATAAGGTCTGCTTTGAGGGCTTTCCGTTGTGCATTTTTTGTGCTGTGTTTTAGTGCCTGTCCTGGTACCCCCTTATCACAACAAGAACAAATAAGTAGGAAGGACCATATTATCAAGTCACACTTAAAAAAGAAAAAAAGTTTATAAACAAAAGATTTTTAAAAGTAATTCCAAGAGTGAAGCTTGAGCTCTATTATCACTGAAAGCAAGGAAAAAAGGATAAAAGGATAACAAATGCAAGTCATTTCAAGAACTATAGATTCTTTTACTCTGATCCTGACTTTACCTGATATACCGACCCTGACCGGCATTTTAGTTTGAAGAATTCAGCTGCTTTCTGAGCTGTGTTTACTTTGCCACATTTTACACACTAGGTCTCTCCAGCTCCTGTTTTTTTCACACAGACAATCACAACCCATCAGTGGGCCCTACGTTATCTCACAGGTGAATCTCCTGGATTCCTGGAAGCTGTTTTCACTTGTCAGTGAGGACTTGGGAAGGAGGAAAGGAGTGAGGGGTAGGCGAAAGTAGTGAGAGAAATGCCAGAACAGGACTAAATGAGAAAAAGGAAACATATTTAATTAGTGTTTTCTGTAAAACTTTACAAATGTACAGCATAGTGCAAAAACGCAGTCTCAGCACATCACCTTCAAGTAAAATTAACAATGTAAAAAGCCGAGGAACACAAGCTCGCTTCTTCACAGGAGTGGCTCTTGAATACTGTTCCCGGAGGTTCCTCTCTCACCATCAAGACCCAATCTCATGGTTATAGTAGAGCAAAAAGCCTAAAGAAAAACCCAAGAACCGTCTCGAGTGGCTACTCACAGCGAGTGCAGTCTGCCGCCTCGCTCTATAAAAAATGCCGCAGCCAGAGATGGTGTCAGGTACCCTTGTTGGTTGAGTTGCACCTTTGCCTACTTGCAAGTAGCTCTCCTAAGATGGTTCATTTCTCAACCCCAACTAGACAATCCAGTAAGACACTGAAGCATATGTCAAACCTCAAGCATGTGATGGGCTTCATAAAAATACGGGGAAAACTACTCAGGAGCTTGAAGTTAAGCACATGCTTAAATACCTTATTGGATCAATACATTCAGTGTTAACATTAAGGCAATCTAGTGTGTGAAGGTTCAGAGAAGGATGTAAATCTTGAACAGGGATAACGTACTCTGTCAGGTGATATGAGACACCAGATCATTTTCAATTACCTATGAGAAAAGAAGTAAACAGAGTGCAACTCAACGACTTTCCATCACTGGAAATGACAAAATACAGTGGCAAATGGGCTGATCTAGGTGAACTTTCTAAGCACAAATCTGTCAAAAAGGAAAACCTTGTCCATGACACACTCAAGCACATCATCTAAATACCAGGCCAATGGGGGCTGCCAGAATTTTCCCTTAGTCCTGAACACAAAAACAGTGGCTGGAATTAATTCAGAAGCTCTCACAACCTCGCTTCTGCAAAGACTGCACCACCAAGGTGGTGACAGAGCTCCCAGCACACGGTAGTTAGCTGGGGGAAAATGTGCTCAAAAGTGAATGTTTCTGAACTAACACATCTGTTCACATACTGATAAATGGATGGAGGAAAGGGCTGTGACAGGAAGGTCCATTTAAAACATGCTCATCTTATTACGGAGAATTTGAGCCTGCATTCATCTGATTGGTTGACTACATTTTGGGGTGGACGCTGCTTGACCATTCAAGATGCTCAGAAATACGGTTCAGAACCAAGAATCGTCACGGCAATGAAAGTGGGCAGAGCAGTCCTTCAAATGATACTGGCACGGCTTACACCTCCCTGTCTAAGCCCTTAGGAGGCCTGAGTTAGTTGAATTTCCCGGGTCTGCCTTACTGCATTTGGGTAGCTTTCCTAAGGAAAAGCAACTCTGTTAGAGGATACTGAGATAAATAATACGTTCTCATTAGAACTACAGCATAAAAAACAAAGCTCTGCTTTGTTGAGAAACTCAGTTGTCAGAAACCACATGGAGGAGGAAGATTAATTCAACCTTTGGAGGCTGGTCTCAGATGCACAAAGGACAGAAGAAAAGTTAGCGGGACGTGGTGGACTGACCCTTCTGCCTCTTCTCCTGCACTGAGCAGCTGAGAGTCCTTCTAAAAAGGGGATCCAATCAATTAAACTGGTTCATCAGATTTTATACATCAATAAACCAACAGGCACATCTTCAGGGGAAATAGAACAGGTCAAGGCCAAGGAAAAAAGTCATTGGACTGGACATGGAACACAGCCAGCACCAAAACCCAGAGTATGCTCTCTCAGTCCTCTTTGCAAATGGAAAATTGTGTGTGCAGAAGAGTCTATCCCTTTTTTTTCTTTTTTTTTTTTTTAAGTACAGGGTGCTCTGCATTTAGAGAAAATAGATTGGGGAAAAAACCCAAAACAAACACCAAACCCTCTCAATTCGGCATGCGATGCTGTGGGGTCTGTGATGGTCTGTAGCTCCCCTAGGAGCCAGAGACACATTCTTGGAGTGGTCACTCAGAAAATGATCTTCTGCACACCCCGAGAGATCTTCATTTTCCTATTCACCCTAGGAGGATAAGGGAGAGGCACAAGTACATTCCATCAAAAACAGAAAATGGATAAGAGGAAATTTTTAGAGCAGTGGACTGGCATATAGAACTATTTTCCTATTTAAAAAACAGCATCCAGAAGGGTCAGGCGTCTTAGCTAATCTGTGCTGCCCCAATAAAATCCAACAGTTTGCCATTGCGGGCACTAGTCAGGATCACTTTATTTTATGAAGACCCTGATGTACTTTCAAGCTACTCTTCACTTAAATTTTATTAGAAGATTTGAAATTTCTAAAAGCATTTTCAAGAAACAAAAATCCTGCCAAGTCCTCACTCCCCACAGGAGCAAGCACCAGAAGCAGTATTTTGTTTTAAAATTGTTATCCTGGGCAAACACTGAAATCCAGGTGCAGGGAGGGTAATGCAACAGCTACTGACCATTTCCATCTACTCAAAAAGAAAGGGCACAAAAAGAAACTCTCTTGTGGGTTTCTGAGTCACTTTTGTTTCTTTACATTCAAACCTGTGGATGCTTGGATGGGTGGGAGGGAGATGTTGCTCCTTGGAAGCTAAATCACTGGTTGTTGTCAGTTGAAGAGCTCAGGTTTAATGGGATATCCCCTTGGACACCCACAGAGGACAGGTAGGAAGCCATATTTTCAGATGGAACATAAAGCGATGAACTTTCAGGCAAGCTGATGAGGTCATTTCCAAAGATTGACTGACGATCAATGAGGAATTGCTGGGCGCTTTCAAGAATGACATCTTTCCCTAGGAATGCAAACGGATAACAGGAAACTCAGTTTCTGGAAGGCAAGTTACCAGACTTCATGTATGTAGAACTGAAAAGTGGCAATCTCCCACTGCACCAGGAGGTGACAGGCCTCGCTCCAGGCAAAAAATGCTTGGAAACACTTGAGTCAAACCTGGACTCACTCAAAAGCCCACTAAAATAGATGGGAATCTCTGCAGGTTGCCAAGCTGGGTTCTGCCTGAATGCTGAGAGTTACCCACCATTTGGTCATCCTTCTCTCACTTCTTGTGAGGCAAGTCTGATAACAAGAAGTGAAAGAGGGATGACCAAAGGGTTGGAGATACTGAGGATAGGAGCAGCTTCTCTTCTTCACTCAAGAACGGTTTGCTTTTCCTCATCTTTGCAGGAGACATCTGTCAATTGCCCCATTATTCCAGCATCACGCCACTGCATGGACCCAGAAAGGCTTTGCAAACAAGGGACGCTCCTCTTGTGCAGTTCAGCTCCAGCCTGCTTAAGAATTCTCTCCAGCGTAGCTGGGCTGTTAACGCCTTTGATGCTCATGCAAGATGCTGAGCGTATGGTGGAGGCTGGAAGTCCTTGAACTACACGCAATACATCAAAACTCTGAGGTGGGGTCAGGTGGCTACAGCACCAAACTAAGGCTCACAAAAGCTTCTCTTTCAGGTCTAGCCCAGCTGAATACACATGAAAATAGTAATATATCACTATTCCAAGACCAGGAAAACACTTCTAGATTCATATCTAAGGCCAATCACAGAGTCAGTGAGGGGGAGAAGATCAGCTGGACAGTTCCCTTGGGGGTTGGTAAAAGGTCTGGAGAAACTGAGACATAGCCTTTGCCTCTGGCTGCTAGCAGCTACCAGGTCACTTCCTCTGCAGCTGGAGCCCGAGGAAACACAGCACCTGTACAGCTCCTACCACCCCTACTTCACTCAGATCACCACATTGCTCCTGGGTGGCGATGAACAGGCAGAGAAAACAGCGGAGACACTGATAGGCATGATGTGGACCCAAGCAGGAGCAGAGGCAGTTCAATTACATTTAAACCTCGGTTTATCCCCCATGCATTTCCCACTGCTCAGTAACTAGCTTAGCAGTTGTTGTGGAAACATTGCTGACTGACAATCACGAAAGTATAATAACAAACGTGTTCTGTTCCCTCAAAGTAGCAAATAGTCAGTGCTGGACATTGTATCTAGCTGCTGACATGTTTAACACCTTAATTACATCCTCATTTCCAAGTCTGCAAGAGCTGCTAGTGCTCCTACCTGGGCAGGTGCTGTTAAACGGTGGGTTGAACACTTTGGATGACAGCTCAGTTGCATTCTTCTCCAGATCCACTGTGAGTCGCTGCATCTTGATGCAAAAATATAAACTACAATGTACAATTATACAAAGACAGGGGAGCTTGTTAGAACTAGGCCATTTCTGAAAATCGGTGCTTCATCAATGCTGCACAACATCCACCAGTAATGCAAGCTATCCTCCCTGCCCTGCCTCTCCTCCCAGCCTCACCAGCACTTTGTTAAAATAGCGTGTGTTCAAGGGCAGATATGCCTGAAGGAGAGGGCTAAGGGAGATGTAACCCCCTGTTAGCACTGGCTAATGTGGTGTGAAGCTCATGTCACACAAGGAGGCCAGGCTAGCGTCGCTGTGGCTGTCCCCGCCTGGCAGCCATACAAAGCAAACCCATGGTCCTCTGCAGCCAGCAACAAATATGAAAGGAGTTTTCTTTCCATTTGCCTTTGACTGTCTTTAAGTGAAACTAGCTTTTGCTTGCACACTGCTTCTAGGTGCAGTCTTGCTGTGGGTATGACTTCCAGGCTTCTCTATGCTCATGACTTTCTGTAGGACAAACAAGCCTAAGGGTAGGCTGCACCAGACGCTGGGAAACTCAGTGGACTCGAGGACAGAACTATTGAACATTGCAGCCTCCCTCTTGGCCTTTTCTCTCACACAATCCTTTTTAAAAGAGACTCTTACTTCCGAGACTTGCTAATATTATCTATTTCTTCAGGGACTCTCCTTCCTAACACTCAGGAAGTGGAATTACCCAGTAACTTCAAAATTATTTAAATCAAAACCTTAAAAGGATAGTGATATCACGAAGAAGGCTTAGAGACCTTTCGCACTTCATTAGAATAGATTACACTTTGCTTGCGCATCTGTAGAGATGGCAGAACCGTCCAAGTCTTTATCCTACCTGGCTGGCAGTGAGGGCTCTGCAAATTCACCCTCTATCAAGCAGGAAAAAGCCCCAGTCATGAAACACACATTTCCTTCACTGTTTATTAAATCACCGTATGCACTTTAGAAATGCCTGTGTCAATGTCGATTCCAAACAAATACTGCCAAACTGAATTTCCCCTTGCTTCTTCTGTACAGGTATGCATGAACCTCTATTCTAATTGCATGTGGTTTTACTGCTCCCGAAATGTACAGGGATGGCTGCACTTTATAAAGGCATATTTTATAAAGGGCTTGGGCACAAAGACACTTTATGAATCTATGGTATTAGTAGGACGTGACATCCACATTAAGAGAAAGTCTAGAGCAGCCACTTTCAATTAAAGACTCCAGGACACCAACACGTCTCTAAACAAGCTCTGGCTGAGTGAAAAAGGCAGGTCAAGAGTACAAGATAACACTCTCAGCCTACCCTCAGGAGATGTTTACTTGCTGTGCTGTACCATGCTCTCCCCTCTGGCTATAAAATAACTAAGCATTCTTCAGTTATGCACAAGCCCTGCTCCATAATTACATTATTATCATCATCATCATCATCGTATCTCAGAAATAGACATCTCTTACCGGGGACAGACTGGCTTCCATTTCAGTCAAATTCCACTCACTCAAAGATAAATTGGGATTAAAGACCTGTTGGGAGAAAAATACAATTAGGGCTCTGAAAGATGTAACGGTTCGAGATACTCGTGTCCTCAGCTGTCTGCCTTGCCTGTCTGCTAGAGGTTGTAGCCCTGCTGGCAGAGATGCCAGAAAGCAACGCCTGCCTGTGCCTCAGCTGCTCTGACATATTAACCCAAGCTACAGGCGAAGGCGTGTGCTGATTTGTAGCAGAGCCGGAACAGCAAGGGCTGAGTCGCGGGCACTTGTGCTGATCCGCAAGCCTTGCGGCCTGCCAGTGGAGGGGCAGCGCAGAGACCCAGCGCCCACAGTCACGTCGTAAACCAGGGCAGCTGTTTGTGTCACTGCACATGCAAGTCCAAGCCCTTTTTTTGCTGCTCTTGGATCCCAGGGCACTTCCAGATTCATATGGGTTTTTTTAAAAGCGTTCCAAAACATGGTAGCAGAGGGCAGATTACTGCTGCATCAACGCCTCAATGGCAATTTCTGGAGAAGTCTGAGCAATCTGGGAAAAGGAGCTGTTGGTCTGGGGTACAGTTTTATGATTCATTCTCACTCTTGTGACGTTCAGTTGCACAGAGAGAGAAAAGTGTGTCAGTAACAGGAAAACACCTCCTAATGAGAAAGAAGAAACAGAAACCAACGGAGCCAGTGACAGAGCAGGCCATTAGAAAAGCTTTCCGTAAAGTCAGAATCAATCACAGACACTCGGGAACTGGCTTTAAGAAGATAAGATTGATTTTTTTTTTTTTTTAAATAATTTTTCATTCCTGTTTATCCATGCAAGTTTACCATATGCCTGTATCTGAAGCACCTCCTCAAGGGAGCATATCTTTGACATATAGATTCTTTTGCTATGTACAGAGTTATTTGGTTATTGGCAAAACCCTTTCATTTACTAACTATATGTACAAGGAGAGAGAGAGTGAAAGAGAGAACGAAACAAACCTTCATATTTCTGCATATATACTTAAGAAGAAAGACACTATCCATTTCTAGAGAAAAGTGACCTGGGAACTGCAGACAGACAAATATCTCAGCAGAGTGAGAATCTGACATTGGCTACACTTCCCAGAACGTGAGGAAAAGGGGAAGGTAGCAGAGCTAAACACAATCTAGGAATATCTAAGATGCAGAATATGCAAAAAATAAACTAAACCACCCAAAGCGATTACCAAACTAGCTAAAGACTCCTATTTTATGTACACGCGTTAGGTCTCATGATGGTGTCTTTACCAAATGCACTGTGTTTTGTGCTCCTAGAAGTTCAAGTACATGTATTTTCAGAAGAAATGTAAAAAAGCATCATTTAAAGTCTGAAATCCTGCCAGTTCCTATAAGCAGGTCAAAACAGAGCTGCGACTCTGTTGGCAGCATGTGACAGATAAAGTGCCCCACAAGAATAAGCAGCACGGCCTATCTGATTTACAGCCCGAAAGTACCGCTGTGAGCTTTGCAACTGTTTCACGCAGCCGCCCCGGCAGAGGGCCCGACACTCACATCCAAGAGGCTGGTGGGCTCCAGGCCGTACTGCTGGCTCCTCAGCAGCAGCTGCAGCCCTTCCAAGCTCCAGTCGGTGCCCTCCAACGGGTCTGAAATATCTGTTCTGAGAAAAGACAAGGGGAAATATTGCCACGAATGAGACTTGCACAGATACATACAGAAAGCAGGACTGAGCAGCCTTCCGACATGAGGTTTATGCTTAAATCTCATTTTGAAAACCAAGAGCCCGCTCTCAGCCTGGGTTTATGCCATTTCACTTGGATCAATCCCAGAAGTACAACCCAGCAGAGCACAGAGGGGACTGGGCTGATGGGAAAACAAGTGGGACTACTCCTCTCCTGGGTGACGCATGTGGTTTGGGGATGGACAATCTGTGCACATCTCCTCGAGACTGGGAAAATTAAAGCTTTCCTTAGAGGAAATCCTTCTAGAGAGGCACTTGGGATCCAGAACAGGCTGCATTCCCATCCTTCTGGGTCCAAGATGGCTGAATTACTATTAACTAATGGCTTTTAAAGGAGTGACTTTTACCTGCAGGTTGCATTTACTGGAAAAATTCAGCTAAAGAAGAAAATGTGAGGCCCTGCTGGGTTTAACCCCCCAAAAAAGCTATAAAAGTTTCTCTTCAAATCCAGAGTCTTTAAAAGAGGATGGTTTTTCTTCTAATAAAATGTTTTGAAGTAGCCAGTGGGGTTCAGAAGGAGGAATTTGGTTCTCTGTAAGGACCCAAAGGAAAATAGAAGCCTTTCTGATAACTCTATTGAGTGTGGGGTTGTTCCCCCCCAGTCGTCCTCACATTGCTGCGGTTGCCATAAAGAATGAATTCTGCAGTTAACTTCTACTTCATCCACCAAGCTGCAACCACGCTTTCCTCCTGCTGGTGAGGTCTGCTGTGCACTCACCCATGACATTGGTGCTGTTGGGATTTCAGTCCCGCAGCTCCAAAGGTTCCTCACCCACATCGCCCCGTGGCTGAGTCTAATGACACTGTCCTAATCCCCCTTGCAAAAGAACATCATTCTCTGGGTGACTGTCACATGCAGGATACTTGCGTGCCCCGGCTTCAAAATAATGAAACCTCCATCCCTTTGTATCAGACTTCTGCACTCAGCGGACACAAACTCCCAACTCTCCATCCCTGTGAGTGACCTCACTTGCTATTTCATGATTTTAAGGCATGATTTTATACCCTTTTATAAAGCCTTGCTTTGGACTGCCTAGCATTTTACTGAGCCCCTCCAGCTCAAGGAGACAAGCACAGCAACGCAGCTAAGTTTCGTGGGTTTTCACTCTTAGTCAGAGATGGGGAAGCCGAGATCTCTTGCAGTGTCGGCTCCCCAGTACCTCCCCAGAAGCATGCAGCCCACTTGATGGTGCCAAAGTGACTGGCTGCCCCCTGAAGACAGATCTAGCACTGACTCAGGAAAGTCACCTTGGAAAGGTGACAGGAGGAGATGCAAAGGGAGAACAGACTAAAGAGAAAAGTCTATTTGACTTGACAGCACAGGAGAGGAAAAGAACGGGGGCAAATTATTTCCTTCTCAAGCCCAAGCCTGAGACTGATAAACGCTTTGATGCCTTATCAAATACATGCCCTACTTAGTGCAGAGGTTATGGTGATGATTGACTGCCATCTTCCATCACTGTCTGCATATTGGCACACAAGCAACACCTTATTCACTGCACAGAAACACCAGTGACAAATATTTCCTTATGACTTTATGTAACTGAAGACTCAACAAAACAAATGACAGAGGGCACAAAGATACTGGGGGTGCAGTGTGGTCCAGTGGCCTGCAAGTCTGCAGACGTGCATGCTGGTCTGGGCTCCAGCTTTCACTTGGACCTTGGGCAAATCCCTCTCACTGCAGAAAGCCTCGTCCCATTCCTATGACTCTGATGTACATGCTCTGACAGCTTTTCCTCTGTTGGGTCCTTCAAGAGAGTCATCCGCAGACCTCCTACCCCTGTGAACTGTCCCCTGGCCTTCAAGGGTCCTCTAAGCAGGTGCCACAGGTATAGGATGGAGCTCACCAGGCTGCATTAGGCGACTTAAAGTCAGCCTCCCTTTCCCCCCTGCTAATAGGAAGAGAGGGCCACGAAACACACAGGGCCACAACTCTCCCTCGCTCCCCTCACCTGTCCAGCAATGCCCTTCTGCCTCTTCTCTCGGATGGTTGTGAGGTCCCTGGTGGGGCTGCACCACAGCTCCCTTTGCCTTCCAAAACAGACTGAACCATGGCGACCGGGAGCACAGGGGGCTCGGAGCAAGCCCTGCAGCCTGGCAGCGGGACGTCAGGCTCAGCGGTGGCTTTCACTCCAGGGCTGACTGGCTCTTCCTTGATCAGCATGAGGCACTTCTCTCTGTATCAGAGACAAGCGTTAGCACCACACACACATCTGCTCCGCAAAGGCCTCGTGCTACTGGGAAGGGCCATAGCACAAGGGCTTGCCTCCACTTCTCATCAAACAGCCCCACAGTCTTTCCATTCCTCTAGATAGGCAAAAGAAACCATCAACCTTGTTTTCTTTTCAGCAAGCTCCAGAAACGTGCTCAGCTGGAATATCTTCACTCACTTCGTCAGTCACGGCTATAATGAATTTGCCCCATTCGACTGTTTTGCAAATACGGAAAATGCACTTCCGTATGTTGATCATTCCTCAGATGAGTGTTAGGCTAGAGACAGCTTAAAGGGTCACTAGGCTAGAGAGGTTCCCCTGGAAAAGAAAAATCTCCACCCTAGAGACAGGAATGGGATCAGTAAGACCTTCCCATGCTGGAGTTAGGATTGGACCAGCAAGTGCTCTAGAGATCCCAATGACACGGGTCAGGATCTTGCGGCCCTGCAGGATTTGGAACAGAACCTATCAAGATCCGACAATCCCAGTCAGATGTTTTACTTGTTTGGAAGCAGAGGTTTGCCTTTTTCCAGTGGGAGAGGCTCTCCACGTTATTCCTAGACGGACATATGACACTGAAGTTTTGAACAGTAGCATTTTGTATGTAAAAGTCTACACTATACTGCTTATAGGAGACTTTACAGCTCTCTGTGAAACTGCACAACTGGAGCCGAAGTGACAAAGGCACGTAGATCAAAAGGGCATGGAAAGCCATACTGAAAAAATATTATCTTACAACACTTGCAGACTAGCTTTGCTGCAAGGCAACACACGAGCATGTCACACGTACGGGATGGTATGTGACATTACAAAGCCTTCCTCGGCATTCCTTTCAGATCACCTTCTCATCTTGTGAATCCTAAACTCCCACCAGAAGCTCATGTTGATTTAGGAAGTACCACACTCCTGAACTCCTTAGGGCCGTGGCTGGCTCAGATTCCTGAGTCATGCAGACACAGCATAGATCAGAGGCCACCAGATGGCACTCATTAATTAGTAGAAATAAGCAACTCAACTTGAAGGTTATATTAAAATTTTTCTGCTTTAGAAATGGTTTCCAGGCTTGGAGGTTTTTTATTTGTTTTGTTTTGTTTTAAATCTGGAGCTCTTTACATGCTTCTAGCTAATTTTATGGCTATGGTTTCAATTATTAGGCAGATTTACAGGCAATTTCTAAAGTATAGCTGCCTTGCCTCTGTGCCTGAGAAACTGTTTCTATGATTCATCTGTCTACTTACTTTCCACTGACATAGTTGTAGCTATTCTGCTACTAGCCCTAAATACACTGCATGTCTGTGGCAGGAAGAGATAAGCATTAAAATACCTCTGCATTCAGTTCTTAAGTTACTGGGACCTTTTCACAGAAAAGTTGTCAAACATCGGAAGTTGTTGTGATGCAACCTTTCTGTTCTCATTAGCAGAAAGATGTACAGTTTGATTCTGTTTCTTCTTTGCCAAAGCCAAAAGGAAACTTCCTTTCTCTCTCTCTCTCAACAAACACAACAAGCGTTAGTATCTCATTATTTGATAAAGTCTGAGACAGTCCCTGTCTTGAGAACAAAATATAAAAGAAGCATGGAATACTTCTCACAGAGGTGAGTGGAAGTTCTCAGCATGAAACTCATGACTTTGTTTCGAAAGTTATGCTGTTATTATCCCTCCCTAATTCTGAAAATCTGACCACATTGCAAACTGGAAAAAAATATTCCAGCCTACCATCTCTACAGAGATTTGCGAATCAGACAGAAACTTTGGTAGAATTACAGCCAGGAAAAACTCTTTTGAAGTTATGCATGTCCATACCCGACTCTCCTTGTTTTTAACCACAGACATGTTTACCTGTCATTTTCAGGAGGGGATTGCATATTTATTATGTTGGATGGTGATGCTTCAGTAACATCAGATATGATGGGTCCTCCAGCAATTGCAGGGCTGTTTAAGCAAGAGGCAGGTTCTGTCGATGGCTAAGAGGAAAGAAAAGTCATATAAATTTATCCTTCTGAGGACCAGAACAGGTCCAAAGCCCTATCTGACAGAGTTAGAGTTCACTCACTGTGCCCGTGAGTCCTCCTTGTATGGAAACCAAGAAAGCTTTTACATACTATGCAACATTATAATTTCCTCTGGTCTTTTCTCCAACCACACAGAGGTGCAGATGTAAAATAAGCACTGCGACTGTAGTGTCAGCTACCGAGAGGTTTCACCATGTCTGACATTTTGCCTAGGCAGCTTAGCTTCCTCTGGAGAGAAAGATCCAACACAGCCCGAGAGCAGTATGGGTCTCTCGTGCCAGCTCAAGTATTTTAACCGCATGACATAAGTGTCATGTGTCTGGTGTCTGCTTTGGTGGCTTAGGGTGGTGGGGATCCCTCGGCAACCGCAAAAATCTGGCTCTGGTCAGAAAGATCATAGTACCCACTTCTAGAACATACTTCTTCCTCTCTGCCCTTAAAACGAGCCAGGCTGGAGTAACACCACGGAGAGTTTGGTGTGCGGGGTCTGCCTTTCCCTCCCACAACCCGTAGCCTCCCACATGAACACGACAGCACAAGCACATGCAAGCATGCACCCCTCCCTGGAACAGGGGAGCTGAAGAAATAATAAATGTCACTCAGCTTTGCAAACCTCTTCTCTTCTTCACTGCCAAACTCTTGCCAAACTACTTACTCTGTAACCCGTATTATTGCTTCACACATTTTTCCACCCCGGCCAAAGAAATCCCACAAAGCTCAGAGGCTGGCGTAAACCTACCGACTGTATGAAATAGGGGTCATGGAGGGGGTCTGTAGACAAATGCCGACTGAACTTGGACACTTGCGGAGCTGAGATCCCGTTGTCAAGCATGAGAGGTCTGTGAAGAGAAACACATTTGTTTTCCCAGCACATACTGACCGGTTCCCGGTTGCTCATACAAGACATGTCTCTCAGGCAAGGGTTGTTCTCCCCTGGGTACTCTGTTTTGCCTCAGCTGTAAGGTACCTTCTTGTCCAGTGTTACGGACAAGGAAGGGAAACAACAGTTCTGGAGTAGGTCACCATTAAAAAAGGGCATTAGCTATACAGAGAAGGGATGATCTGGGTTTTCTAGATCTTATTGGAAAGATGCAAGTAAAATAACAAATTCAATTCATATTTTCTTCTAATTGCTAGTGGTTTCAAGCTCTGGGCTGGATCCTCAGCTTGTTCAACTGGAGGTAGCTACGCTGAAATTATTAGTGCGATACTGGGAATCTGGCCTTGTTACCAGCTGCCTCGTGCCCAGGGCCTCTTTGGCAAAACTACGTCTCCGTACATAGCACTGCATAAAAGGAACCCGTGGCACCCACTAAGAAAGTAACAAAACAGAGGGAGACACAAAGCAAAGCAGAGCCTAAACTCATTGCATACAGGCTTTTAAAAAATGACCGACAGGCTTTTACAGCTTGCCACTGACAACAAGAAGTGGGTCTGCATGCCAGGTCCTGTAGCAGGAGTGCTTTATGTTTAGTAAATGATTGAAACCAAGAGAAAATGAGAAGGAGCCTCAAAATGGAAATGCCTTTCCATCATGAAACTTCCTGGGTAGCAGTCCTCGGTTTTGTCATACAGTCCCACAGAAGCTGGGAACTGGTATATTTTGCTACACGCCCACTATTGTTAATGCTGTGATGATCCTAGAAAACTGCCTAGCAAATCCCTCTTCTCCTGCCACCGTCCCACAGTCAGGAAAAGCATCTTCAGTGTTTGTTTAGAAGACAGTGATTTGGCTGAGGGCACCAGGGAAAGCCAATGGTTTTTTCCACAGTAGTGTCTAACAGGCTTGGCAGAAGATAATTCCTAGCTCCCTTCATCCTACAGACACTGGAGCTGGATACGGTGGGAGAAATCATGGGCTTGCTCAGACTCCAGTGAGATCCCACAGCGAAGGGCACTACACAGCAGGACACAGTGACCACAGTGCTTGAGATCTCAGTGCTGTCTAACAGCTTGTTTAACAGCCTTTTTCTTTTCTATGCCATTAACTAAAGACACAGAATAAAAAAGAACACTTGAATCACCCTGACATGGACCTTGTTATGGCATAAGCTACCCTTCAGTACACACTGAGATATCATAGCCAGCCCTGTGACAATTACAAATTTGTAAGTGTCCGGCTCTCTGCTCCAGGAGCCACAATGAACCTCCCCATCCAACATTTCTTATCAAAGTAACTTTGGCATCTAACCCATCTAACAGCCTCCCAGGGCAGACATGCCTGTGGGACCTACAGACGTGCCCATCCTGCCCAAACCTGCCCAGAGCCCCCAGTCAGCACTCGGGTCTGCGCCAACAGTTGCTCCAGGCTGTACACTATGCTTTCCTGCAGTCATTGAAAAGACAGGCAGGAAAACAAAACTGTGAAAGATAAAACATTAGAAGTGCAGATACAGACACAAGAGCTGAGGTTCCTTGAACACAGACCTTCGTGTTTCCGAGGAAGCAGAAACTCAAATTAACACGCACAGTATTGTGCAAACTGCAGCTGGGTTTTATCAGTGTGATCCCTCTTCATAAGGAGGCCAGCACAGTTGCTGTGCAGATAGCTCTGTGCTCTTCTGCCCCTTTCAGCACAGTTTCTCACTAATGATTTGCTTTTTTCAAAAAGCAGTAGTCTAAGACAACATTTCTTGGGCTGCAAAGCTTTTACAGGGAGGGCACGGCCCTGACCGTGGAAATTCGAGATCAGATCTGGCATCTCATTTCTCTGCTTCCCCACTCCACGGGAGGAAAATTTCCCCACTCATGAACCTCAGCGACTCAGAGCAGCTGATATCCTCCCCGTGAGCCCTCTTCTGCGCTACCATTCTCCATGCAGTGTTTATCCCCTCCAAGGGGCTCGGCAGAGGGCGTAGGCAGAGGTAAGAGTACCCAGCTTGCTTGTACAGATTATCGGCTCTTTCATTCAACCCTGTGTTTCCTTTACAATTCTCACAAGAAGAGTCAGCCAAGAACAAGGACACTGACTTAAAGAAAATCAACTCCCTTGAGCAGCCATTCTTGGGAAGTCTGGCTCCTTTCTCCGAGGCATGGAGAAGTTTCTGAGTTGCTGAAGGCCACAAGGTAATAAAGGTGGGAACCGGAGGCAGGTCCCTGCCCTCAGCCTGAGCCGCAAAGGCAAATTCCCTCTTAGCAGCCCCTCTCCCCTCTTTAGATCACAAGCACGACAGAGCAAGAAATGCACCACTGCTCTCCTGGAAGGCACTAAGCTTCCTAATTCAAGCTCCTCTATCCACTTGCCTTGAAGAGTTTATTTATGACTCTAAAGATACCCCTAGCTAAAATCTTTCTCCACCTTTCTCTCTGTAAGGCCTGCAGGTTGCATGCCACCAAACCTGTGTCGGATACACCCCCCTGTTCAGTGAGACTGTGGGTCAAACCAAAGGTGTCTGCGGGCTGGCTGGGCCCAGCCCTGCTCCCAGTGATGACAAGCGGCAAAACTGGAACCTGTAGGACCAGCAGCGGGGTCCTGCCCTTTACCCTCCCACTAGTTAGTGTTCCCATCTCCCGGCTCGCTCTGTATTCCCCAAATAAAGGTCACGAGCTGACAGGGTGCTTCTCTAAAGACCACTGAATGGGGCATGTCAGCAGGTCTGACTCGGCAGTTCAGCCCATTCATTTCCCATCACCATGGTGCCCTGGTCCGGTGACCGCCTGCCTGGGCGAGCTGAGCTTGTGCTTTTAGTGAGGGGGCAGCATTATGCACCCGTGAGCGTGTGCGCACCACACAAGGGTACTTACAGCTTCCTCTTTATCCCAGTGCTGCTAGGGCTTGATTGGAGCTGGCCAAACAGAAACTGAATCAGCTGTCAGGAGAGATCAAAATCCAGTGTTAATCAGCAGGGTGATTCAGCACTCCCTGCTCTCGCAGCCATTGCCATTCTTATCTCACACATTCCTCCCTCCCGACACCACCCCAAAGCTGGGAGCAGCCATGAAACAGGGGAGCCAAACTGCATGAGGCAACGGAGCCCGAAACCAAACTAAGCTTTCCAAGAACTCAAGCGACCTGCCTAGCTTTCAAGAAGCAGAGCCAGGTGCCAGCTCTGTGCGAAGGCTGCTAGATGCACATGCCCAGTGCTTTCTCTCTCCACTTCTGTGCATGCAGAACTCCAGCCAGCCCTATTAGACTTGGGAGTCTGCCTGTGAAGTACACATGTAAACACTCCTAGGCCTGGAGTCAGACTCGGCCTCCGTAAAAGTCTTTGGAGACCTTTATAAGAGGCTCTATAAAGCCTGACAAAGACTTTGCAAGTGAAAGGGGCAAGCCCCTAGGGGAGACCCTGGATGGAGGTCTTAGCGCTTTCAGTCAAGTTTTTCAGCCCTGTGAAATTCAGTGTTGATATGACAGGACACTGAAAAGGATGCAGGGTGGCTTTGGAGAGGAATCACTTAGCAACATGCTCCCAGGTCAGCCTGAGCCTAACGCTCTGCTTTGACCTCCAAACAAAGAGAGCATTACTATTATATATCACAGCTGCCTCTTACTCATTGCTCAATATAACAAAATAGAGTTGCATAAATGCCCCTACAATGAGTGATGTGGCTGGTCCAGCCTCAGAGCCGGAGGAAGGTTTGATAGCCTCGTGCATTTCTACCCAGTCCTATGACTCTGTGATGCCACGTGAGGGTCAGAACGTGGCTCTCAGGGGGACTGGGAAATGTGACATGCTCAGTCACGTCAGCGCCATCTGGGAATCACTGGAGAGGCCTTTTCTAGCACGGGTCATGCTGGGTTTTAAGGCAGATGGCTCTGCAGTGCTCCTTCAGTCTTAGAAGGTTGTACAGTAATTCCTCAGCTGTACCAGTAACACCAGAAAACATAACGGTTGCTGGAGGTTCCCCACTGGGGGAATGGCTAGCCAGTTCTGCTGCCTGTAGCTTCAGTGCTGGCAGGAGGGGGAGGCTCCTCTCTTGTACGAAGGAAAGAGGAAAGATTTGGGAAGCCCAAAGGCGTCGGTACAACCAGAACACAGCCAGTACAGGGCAGTTAGTGAGGGTTGTGCTCTCTTGCTCAGGACTTCAACAGAAAAATGGTTTCTAACATCACAGCGAGGACTGACAGGGAAATTAAAATCTTTTGCTTGAGGGCATAATCTATGCTTTGCTAGTGACCATTTCCCATAGGACATGTAAGAGCATCACACGATTTGAAAGAGAGGGAAAATAAATATATTGCGGTGAGTGTGGAGAAGATTATGGGACAAGGAAAAAAAAAATCAGAGGAGGACATAACACCATGCGGTACAGGTGAGTTTGGAGCTTATACGACCACTACCTTGTTGATCACTTTCTGTTGTTGTGAGTGGTTCTGCCGGAGAGAAACTACTTCCCGCCAAAGAACTTCATTTTGCCTGAAAGTGAAATAGAAACTTTCCGTGAGCACAGAAACATCCCAACAGCCCACGGTGCTGCCATGATGCACAGCAGACCCAGTTCTGCAAAGTCTGTCTCACTCTGGGGCTCTTGCAGTGCTCGGCACTTTTCAGATGTCCCAACCGAGGTCACACGATAACTTTCCTTGTGTTTCCTCAACCTCAAAAGAACTGCAGACCAAAGCTTGGAGGAGAAACAAATAAAGAGAAGCCAACATTTACAGGGGAGGGTAACAAGAGGACACGTGTTTAGTTTTTGTGGAACGTTTGGGCCAAACAGAGAATTTCAGCAAGGCCCGATTTGTGACTTTGAACGATTTGGATCACCAAGACTGTTCTTCCTGTGGGAGCCAAGAAAGCCCAACCTCTCCACAGCTGCCCCCGAAGACCAGGAGATGCTATGGACAGAGATCCTATGTATTCTGCCTGCTGAAACCTCATACACGTGGTGGTACAAAGGCATGTGTGGGAGTGACTGGAGCAGCTAAAGGGATGCTTCTGCATCCGAGAGCCTTGAACTAGGAGGACTGTAATGATTTCATTAACGGGAGTCACTGATTTCATCCAGCACAGACCTGTGTCCAGCTTGCAATTGCATAGAGTACATTTATTTTCTGTCTGCAAATGCAGCACACAGGGGAGTTACAGGCTTCCTTGAACAGTCAGCCCCAGAAAACGGGATGGGGAGATGCAGAGTTTATTTGCTGTGCTGCCTCCAAATCTGGATGCCGGCCAAGTCCACGCCGAAAAAGGTTTCGCCAGTCGATTTATCTCAAGAGTATATGGATGTACCAAAACCGACAGGCCAGCAGAACCTATCATCCAGGTGAAATTTATAAATCCTTTTGCTACATATCCCTTAGGTGGATTTAGTCTTCCTAGTGTGGATTGATGCTAGAACTGGGGAGATAAGGTCCAGGGCTCGAAAGAGCACAGTAGCTGCCCTAGTACAGCAGCTTGTACAGCAAGAATCTCTGCGGTGAACTTTCTGCACTGGTACTGATGGGATTTTCAGCAAAGCGGCTTTCCTTAGTCTGACAGCTCGTACTGGAGTTACGTCCTAACGGTTCTTCACCAGTGTAAATTTCTTAACATGGTTTCAGCTTGGGATTTCTGGTCTGTCTGAGTTTATAAAAATTGTATTATTTTAATCAGTTGAATGCAATTTTGCCTTTTGCCAGATGGAGGAAGGGAGGAAGCAAATCAAAATGGAGAATAAACTAAAAGCAAGGCCAAATCATCGATACTGGAATTCCTTAAAAATTAAATAAGATACAAGCCTAGAAACTCTTTCATCGCCACTGCCCCTGGATTTCATGATTTCATGCGTGTGCTAAGTGTGGGAGTCATTAACATTTGAGGGAGGATAAAAACATTTATCTGTTGCACGTAAGGGGCTGGGCTGCAATGAAGTTTCACGGTATCTGGCGTTCTCTCAAGGCCCAGGATGCCAGTGTCCCGGTGATGTATGAATATCAGCTTTCACTATAAAAGAAGCTCTTAGGTCTTATTGTTTAAAAAGCACTTGAAAAAACAAAAAATCTAAGTTCTCTGTAAGGATTAAAATTCTGGAGGCAAATAAAAACCTCTCCAAGTACATGACTTGTAAAACCGTATCCATTTACTAAATTCCTAGTGACCGTGCCTGACTCAGAAAATCCCAGTGCCTCAGACAGCTGGAGGTCAGGCAGCCACATGTAAGCAGCGTTGCATGTGCTTGTTTTGCTCTTATACAATAATTTTGGCCGTGTCAGAAGACACAGTCTTCAGAGAGATGGACTAAACACTACAGCAGTTCTTGTGTTCTTATATACTTTAGGCCAGTCATATTTTGGAGGTGGAGGATGACAGAGGGATGGTTTTTATTTTTTTAATAGTTGGAGTGGGCACCACCACATTTTCTGCCAAGGACTCTTCTAGGTGAAAGAGTTACATCTTTACCATCATTTCTATCTGGAGGAAATACAGTTATCTGAGTTACGTCCCCAGGTTATACACCTGTTTCCTGCACGGCCTCCTCTGTGCTTTCCTCATCTGTAACGGGAAAATATAGATTAAGAGAATATGTCTACCTTTCACAGAAGACAGAGAGGCCGAGCATTAAGTCGTTCCGTAGATCATGGGGTCTGCATAGAAATCCTACATGTTATTGTCTCAACAGATCTAGTCCCTATGATTAGTCCATGGCTCAGCATGTGCTCCCTGGGAGGGAGGTGTATAAGGTTCCTCCTTTCAAACATTCCCCAAGATCAACAACTCTCGAGAAGCAAATGCCCGTAAGAAGCAGCCTGAGTAGGATTCAACTCACTGCTTCATGTCCTGCACTTGACACTCCATGTTCTCCTGCTGACTTCTCAGTATCTGTACCTCGTATAGCAACCTGCTGAGGTCCTCCTGGCGCATCTTGGTCTCCTCACTTTTCACTACCGACACCTGAGGAGGAAAAATCAAAGGTAGATTTTACCAATGCAAGAAGGGCCATGGACAGACAGAGTCATCGCTGTGGCTCGGGTGCAGGACTTCCACCAGCCGGGCTCTGATGTGCTGAAATACTAGGATGGGCGACATGCACAAGAGTCTGAACTATCCTTAGGGTATCATTGCAAGGGCCAAGGGGATAAAATAGAGCAAAGAGCAGGACAAATCCTTTCGTACAGAGGGTGTGTTGGCAGCAGAACATTCTGCACCAGAGTGGGGACTTATTTCAAATCAGCTTGGGGGAAAGAAGGGGAAAAAAAAAAAAAAAAAAGGTATTTTGAGGACCAGGGAGGAATTGAACTAGTAACTACAGAGACCCAATCCAGCTTCATGTTTTACAGGGATGAGCCTGAGGAAATGCTTCAAATTGACGTATTACTCTTGGATTTCCAGAGGCTTTTGCTGAAGTCCCTTTTCTGAAGTTGCTACGTTAATTCAGTAAGAGAACAGCCCTTTTGGGGCATCAATAACAGGTTAAAAGACAGCAAACAGAGGGCAGGATTAGGTTATCTCTTCTATAATCATAGAATCATAGAATAGTTTGGGTTGGAAGGGACCTCTAAAGGTCACCTAGTCCAACCCCCCTGCCGTGGGCAGGGACATCTTCAACTAGATCAGGTTGCTCAGAGCCCCGTCCAACCTGACCTGGAATGTTTCCAGGGATGGGGCACCCACCACCTCTCGGGGCAACCTGGGCCAGTGTTTCACCACCCTCAGCATAAAACATTTCTTCCTTATATCTAGTCTAAATCTACCCCCTTTAGTTTAAAGCCATTCCCCCTTGTCCTGTTGCAACAGGCCCTGCTAAAAAGTTTGCCCCCATCTTTTTTATAAGCCCCCTTTAAGTACTGACAGGCTGCAATAAGGTCTCCCCGAAGCCTTCTCTTCTCCAGGCTGACCAACCCCAACTCTCTCAGCCTTTCTTCACGGGAGAGGTGTTCCATCCCCCTGATCATTTTCGTGTCCCTCCTCTGGACCCGCTCCAACAGGTCCGTGTCTTTCTTATGCTGAGGGCTCCAGGGCTGGACGCAGTGCTCTGGGGGGGGTCTCATAATAACATGACGACTGTTGGGAGACCCAGGAGGAGTTATGCTGCCCTTATCTAGAAAAGCGGGTAACGATTCAAAAGCAGAGCGGTGCGAAGCAAGCCTGGCCGTGCAGCACGACACGAAGGTCTCGTGAGCAAAAAAACCCCAGACAAAACTGATGAAAGCCAAGCCCTGCACACAGAGGACCCCCGCCCCAACCACACATGTGTATGGAGAGGACAGAAACCAGACCGCGGGGTGATCTTGGAGTTATGCTGAGCGGTCTACAGCACGGCAGCCCGTGGTCTGGAAGCAAAGACGCGTTTTGGGAGTTATCAAGAGAGGAATGCAGCTGCGGTAGAAACCCTCGCAATGACCGTGGAGTGCTGTTCTGGTCAATGCCCCCCAAAAAAGGGATGCGGGAGGGTTAGAAAGGCACAGGGCAGAGGGCCACAGCGACAGGCACGGAAGGGCTCCTGCTCGGGGAGAAACGAGGCGTTTCCCGCTCGAGACGCCTGAGGGACAGGAAACAAGCATCCACTACTTCTCTCCTAGCAGAAGGCCCGGGGGAAACAAATTAAACAAACAGGCAGCAGGCTTAAAGCAAACCAAGGGAGCTACGCCTCCACGCAGACCATTAGTTAAGTTTTGGGGCGTATTGTTGAGGGATGTTTTGAAAAAGCACCGCGCAGCCTCTCCACACCGCTGGTGTGGAACCTTCTGGATCAGGGGTCTGGTGTGCCTCAGCCTTCCCGCCCAAGGGGCTCACCGGGGGGGCCTGCCAAGGCCTGGCTGGTGTGACCCCCCCCACCCGGCGCCCCTCACCTTCCTCTTGATGTGCTCCAGGAGGTGCTCGTGGCCCTGCAGGAAGCAGAGGTGCTGGAACTCGGTGTCGTCCCGCTCGGGCTTGACAAGACCCCCCTGCTCGATGTTCACCACCTTCCTGAAGCCGTCTGCATGGAGAGGGCGCGGGTGAAGGGCCGACAGACCCAGGTCCCTCCTCCTCGCCTCCCACCCCATCGCTTTTGAGGACATTTCTGCTCGCTCTCCCCACTTTTTGAGCTGCTCTGGTGCTCAAGGCACAGCCGTGCCCCCTCCCTGCAGCTGGGCACGCTTTTGGGCCGTATCTACAAGAAATCCAGTGCAAGGGAGAGCCCCATGCATCCCGCTGGACACCCTGCGGCTCTGGGGACACACTGCCACTGACCCATGCCGTGAAAGCCTCACCGGCAATCCCTTGGGGATGTCGGTCTGTCTGCCAGGAGCCGAAATGCCTGCTCTTACGAAATCTCTGGTTTGATTTGCAAGCCAAAGGGATTCAGGGGAAGGTTTTTCAAAGGCAGAGACCAGCATCAGGTGCCGCTTTTGGAAAAAAGGGTCACATGCACTTTTGGAAATCTACTTTGGGTATTTCTCTGAAGCCCTAGAAGGGTTTCTACACCGCATCTAAAGACTGGCCTAGAATTTACAGTAAGTGCTATTGTATAGTTAAATAGCAAAGTGAAAGCTTTACGAATTAGGCATTGAAAAAAATCAGACTTCCAAAAACTATCAGAAAAGAACCATATTTAATACAGTCGTGGTCTAGATGTGGCTGAAAAGCACACCTAAACCTCTGTTAAGGGGTGCAAATGTCCGATCAGCAAGGCGAGGTTGGGAGAGGTACTGTCCGTTATTAGTTCAGCAATACGGCTGGTGACATGGATGGAGAAAGAACCATATTTAATACAGTCGTGGTCTAGATGTGGCTGAAAAGCACACCTAAACCTCTGTTAAGGGGTGCAAATGTCCGATCAGCAAGGCGAGGTTTGCAGGGAGAGGTACTGTCCGTTATTAGTTCAGCAATACGGCTGGTGACATGGATAAGCTCTGGGCACGCTACCCTCAAAAGCAGCAGTTTCTGAGGGAGGTGTCACAGCATCAGGCTGCTGGAAAGAGCCCCATATAGAATAAAATGGAAAAGAAATAATAACGGGCCATCAAATTGATGGAAGAGAAGCAGAAAACCTGGTAGCTGAAATTTCTTATCTCACATCTTACGATTTAATCTAACAGAAATTTCATGCTGGAATCTAAGGTCAACACAAGGAAGTCGCTCCCCTGGCATCTGAGAGGCAGGTCCTCTCTGACAAAATCAATAATGCCACAATAATGCAGCTATGCGATACCTCAACTTTTCTATCCACAGTTCTCTCTCATGCCTCCTGTCCCACCCTCACTTTGTGTCGCTTCCCCTGTGTCTGTAGGACCCACGTGGCCTAGGCTCTGGAGGTTGAACTTACACATGTTCAGCTGCCGGACGAAACTGGCCATGTTGTTGTGTTTGAAATACTTGGGCAGCACCTCTTTGGCAAAGCGTCCTTGGTCGAACACATGGAAGCTGGTGCCATTCTGCAAAGGAGACAAGGACAAAGGCGAAGTCAGAGGAGTGTCCCCGACCGTGAGAGGTGCCCAGGAGGAGGCGATTCCCTTGAGTCCTACAGCAGGAGAAGTCGTGCTCTCTGAATTGTCACCTTGAAGCTGAGAAGAAAGACAACAGCCGTCAGTGACACGTGCTCCTTTCAGTTCTGGTACCGTCAGCCTTCTGTGACTGCAGTTTTGGTCTTTTTCTACTAAGCTTTGCCACTGCTTAGATCAGAGCCTTGGATGTGAGAAAGAAGCTACAGACTTTTACAGACAAATAGCTGGTAGCTTGTGATCGTCCACCCTTGCCTGGACCTCAGAGAAAGACTCTGGTGTCTGAAGAAGGTCCTGGAAAGCGGGAATTGCCATTATAACCCCTCGATCTGCTTGTATAGGTCTAACTCCACTGCGAGTCTAACTCCTCCAGAGCACAGCAGTCCTGGAGGGAGCGCTGCCTGGAGACATGGTACAAGAAACTCAGCAAGGCAAGAAAGCAAATCGTCCCTGGAGACACCACACTGATGCAGAAGCTCTACGCACCTTCTCTTGACTATTTTTGAAAGCACAGAGCCACAAGGGCAACCGCAAAATGTTAACAGTCATGCTTTACAGTCCAAGCTAGCAACATGCATGTTAACCAGATAAAATATCCGTTTCTGAGGTTGCATTGCCAGGATCCGTGATTGCAAAACAAGGCAAACTGCCTGGGATCGCCGGCAGAGACAGACGCACTGCAGGCCACGTGCTTCCCCTGCCCGGCCTTCTACCTGCTGACAGTTAAGCTGGGACAGAGAGGGCCTGTGAGACAGAACGCACTGACGCTGCCTTGAAACTTTTTGCAAACAGCAATCCACGTGACCTTTTTAAGGGACAGAAAAATTAGCAATTAATTTTCATCTGTAACCAACACTTAGAAACAACGTTTTCTAAATCTCCGACCTCAACAGATCAGTGTCTCCAGGATATGGGGACAGAGGGGCCACCTTAAATCCTATCTCTGCTCCGGATGGGGGGGGGCAGCACCGGGAATTTGAAGGAATGAAGAATCATGATTTCAGACACGGAGTTTGGGGCACACATGGCATTTTCATAAACTTGCAGAGAACACTGTCTTCCAGGGCCTCACGTTGGCTTTGCTCGTGGAGAGAAACAGAGCTGCAGAGAGCTACCTGGGGAATCACCCAACTGTGCAGCATAAGCTCTCTACAGCTCTATGGAGGGACAGGCAAGATGCGGAGACCTATGCCACAGCAAAGCCAGCAGCAGATATTTGGGACTTACCAACTCAGCTGCAGCCGAGTTTCAAGGGACAGCTAGCTAAAGGCACCAGGGTCTGCGTGGTCTTGGCAGGGAGGGGTCTGAAACCAGCACAGCCACAGTCATCCTCCTGCTGTGTTCAGCGTTACCACCGGCAGTCAAGTGGTGCGTCAGCTTGGGAGGTTATTTCATAGCGGGCTGGTTTTTGACAGAGGGGGACAGTGTTTCGTAAGAGTGACCGCTCAGGCTCTGCATGCAGTAGGAGCATACCAGCGGCGTGTGGGTCCCACCGCGCACCCATCACAGGGTCCGTAGCCACACGGGTGCTCTCAGGGCTGCCTGGAAGTTTCTAAAACAGGGAGTGTAATCAGGACCACGAGAAAATTCAGCGACTAAAGAGGTGCCGGTGTGTGCCTGTAGCCTGCCCACGGCCACCGGAAAACAGCCAGCTGGCAAACCCTGCTGCCCTACTCATTGCTACTGCATTTCCATCACCAAACGGTGCCAATTCCCTCTGTGCTCTGGCTCATTTGTCAGCTCTAACAGTTAACCCTGCACGCCCACAAACATATGACACTGTCAGCTGTGCTTCTTGCTCCTTGTTCACTGCTGCAAACACTGAACACGACTGTTTGCCTCGACAGTGCCCTTTGACCATCACCAGGGTCTGTCCTATCATTCTTTACCCCATGCAGCGGAAGCAAAGGCTGGTCAAGCCCTTAAGAGATTCACTAACAATCCGTATGCTGAAATTATCCTCACAGACTGAGCTTGCAGACATGACAGCAGGGACCGGCGTTTCCCAACACGGCAAAGGCTGTTCTGGGGACAGAGCTGGTTCACCCTGCTTCCCTTGTGCTTCTGCCCACGCACGCTCTCTGGGATACAGCTGTGCGTCCCAGGCGGATGTAAAATGAGAAACACGAGGGTTTCCTGTACCTGAACATCTCCTTATGGCCTCTCTTGAGAAGTCATTCCTTTGAATTCAGGGCTGCAGTGTTCGCAGAAGCTGGCGCACCCAAAAGGGTTCCTACAGACACAAGAGACTTTGGAGTCACTGCGCGTTCGCCGATGAACCGTGCATGTGCCGGCTTGCTCCCACACAGCAGCTGCGCCTTGCTTGTCTTACGCCATGGGAGCACAAGCTGGGAGACACTTCTCTGCCCAAGGCAAAATTCACTCTGCAGCATGTCAGTCTTGGCAGGTGCTTATCTGAACTGTTTTTGACCAACCCATGATGACACACATCCTGTGCCCTGCCCAGGCAACCTACTCCAGGAATTTGCTAGGAGTTCTTCCTAACTGCACCTTCCATTTCAAAAATTCATTTAATTACTTCTCATCCAATCTACCATGGACACAGACAGCAGACTTTTCCTTTCCACCTTACAACAGCCTTTAGTGTATATATAAACCATTACCACGTTTCCTCTCCATCTCTTCTCCTTCATGCTAAGGTCCTTACAGGTCCTATTTTCTGAGAGTTCTCATTACGTCCAGAAATCTTAGGCTTGCACACAATTTCTCAGCTCCAACAACACTGATGGATAGAAGAGGAAGAACATGGGAACATGCAACATGGGAAACTTAGACATCTAAAAGCCTTACCAAAACCTTCAAGAACGTAGCTGAAGCCTATGTTAGGTTGCAGGAAAGCAGTGCGTGGTGGTGGTGGGCAGTCAAAAATAACAATGTTGTGAGTGTAACAGAGGGAACTATTTATTCATGTTAGAAAATCCTTCCCAGTTTGAAAGTCCTTGTTTAAAACACACGACACCAAAACCTGGTATGGTATGGCCACCAACATCAGAAAGCGACCATTGCCTTGGGTAACAATGCAGCCCAAATCCTGCCTCAAGTTTTGAATGAAAACTCTGCTGGACACAAACACATGACAGAAAGGCTGCTTTAGACTTCCCCCCCCCCTTTAGATCTGCTTTTGTTATAGATCCTTGATTTTGGAGAACAAGTTTACACACACAATTTATCAGATAACTCCCTGCTGAAGACAAATCACATTATTTGCAGCAAGTCTTAGTCAGGTCAGAAGCACAATGTGGTATCAAAATGCTGTACGAGGGGGACAAATAAACCATTTTAATTCTCTGATTGCACTTAGTATATTAATGCCTCAGTGACAAATAAGAAGCCAAAGCAATCTATTGCTATGAAGCCGTGCAGACAATACATACACACATCACCATGATCATCACACAGACTCGTTGAAAAATCAAGTAAAGCTCTTCCAAAGCGTGAGTGATTTAGGGTGCCAGTCTGAGATCTGTTTAAACTATAGGTTTTAGCCTGAGGTCTGAATGCTGTTTATCTGGTGCCTTCTCCCAAGGCATTTCTGAAAGGCTGCTAAGAAACACTTGTGAAATAATACAGACAGCAGCGGAATTTTTTTTTTTTTTAAGGGCTTTGCACCTTTTCTAGAAACTTTTAGGGAACTGCAGATTGAAGCGGGGTGGAAAAACCTCTCTCTCAGAGTCCGGATTTTCAGAAGATTCAATACGAGACACCCTTTAAGATGCTTCAGGTGAAATGTGTAAATATTGTTATTAAACCACTCCCAAACCAGTTGTCCCTTTGGAACAGACAAGCCGCAATATTGCAGATAAATAATATCAAGTGTATCCAAAAGGCCCCTAACGAACTATCCGTCCTTTCGCTCTCCCAGCCAGCCGGCCAGCACTTCCAAAGCCAAGGGAAGCTGCTGTGCGATGCAGCGCTTAGGCCGCGCACCTGGGTTTTTCCTGGTGTTGCAGGCGCGTAGCGACACCCGATACTGGCTGTACTTACAGAACTCCAGCAGATGAGGTGGTTCGTCTCAGGATCTTCCACCAGCGTCCAGAGTTTGGTTAGGAAGGCTGGCACATTGCTGGAGTATCCATCCATCACCAGGGAGCTGGGTGAATCCTGCATAGTTTTTCAGTGTCCCGGCTACGCTAACCCCATTGCTCTCGGCGCGTCTGCCTCCCTGCACGCGCGTGCGTCCGACAGAGAATGAACCACCGAATTTTATCCCAGGCCAGTGGAAAGTAGGCTCCCAGGGAGTCACATCAGCAGTGCTGCTCGCACTCTTAAAAACTCAGCACAATGCGATGGCATCACCAGCCCCAGAGAACAATACACAGAATGAAAATGCACTGCAGCCGATCTCACAGAGCTGTGAATAAATACGCAGCGTCATGCAAAGGGAACACGTGCTGCGCACCTTATGCTGGGAGGTTAGCAAGTCACCGGAGCGAGCCCACCTGCCGAGAGCCTGTGGGACGTCCAGGCGCAGCGATGCCAGGTTTGTGAGGGCACCCGGATTGTTATCTTGGAATTTGCTTGTCCTAAACTTTGGCCGGCACAGATCAACAAGGGCTGGCCAGACCTCAGGGCTGCACATCTTTGGCAAGGTTTTGAAAAGTCAAAATTGTAAGTTGGTTTGGCTACAGATCCCATGTTATTTGTCAAAAGAAATGACTAGGCTCTTAGGTAAGAAGAGAGGGTGATGAAAACAACTACACATAGAATCTAGATGACAATATGCTTTATTATTATTATTATTATAATAAATGCAGAAGATAGTTCTAAATAGGTGCTCTCAGTGTAACTTTATGCCAGAATCATTTCAACTCAGAAACTGCTCTTCAGGTAACATTCTTCAAAATCTTTGGTACGACAGACTGACACGCACGTATCCTAATCCAGATGCAAGATAACTTGCATGTGAATGCAGAGATCAGATGCAGAAACTGTTAACACTCTTGATTCTCCTAAGAAACACTAACAACGTAATGAAAGCAAAGGTCTCTGCAAAAGGCATTCCAATTATAACCTGGAAATCTGCATTCCGGAACAGCAGAAAGACAAGGTGGACAAGGGAATTTGCGGGCCACGTGCCTTTTATTAGTACCTTGTCGATGTTTTTCCTTAAGTGCTTTTTCTCCTGCTTGTATTTCCTAACATAATTCAGCTCCTGTTACATCCCTCCAAGCTGGAAGCTACCTGACAACTGCATGACGGGCGAGCTCACCATCACTGGAATGCCAAAAGAGGAATTACCAAGGTTAGAAAATGGCTGGGCAGAAAATGGCTGCACTGAAGCTGCCACCTCCTTAACTATTTAAGTAGTTGCTGGGCGCCTGACACAGTGTGCTTGACTTTGACGTGCTTTTAAAATGTAAAATCAAAATTAAATTTTGCTGACACCCTCAGTAAAAACCCACAAAGGGTAAACTTGGCATTCCTGCTACTGCTAAATAAAGAAGCAGAGGAGAAGAGACCTGCCCTCCGTAACCCAAGAAAGAGAGAAAGAAAAAAAAAAAAAGGCTAATTTCTTTCTCTGTATAACCCTTTCTCTGTCCCATTTGAGTGTAAATGCTTGGTCTGCACAGCAGGTGTGCATCATATGTAACAGCCAGGGCTGGTGAAACAGCATGTTCTCAGCGAGCGCAGAGGGCATTTTGCAGCGTTTTCCTTGTAGCCCTAAATCTTCTTTCCCCGTCCTCTTGCAGATCCCTACCATTTCCCCGGGAAGTCAGCAGGAGCCGGTCACTGAGCAGTTACTGGTTTCCAGGGGTGCCGTTCCTTGGTGACCTTCAGAGTGTATTGTTTCAGGCTGGGGCAGTGCGTGAGGAACGCTTCCACCACCTCCTGGCTGACCACACAGTAGCAGTGGATCTCCAACAGATTTCTGCACTGCCTAGCCAGATCTACTAGTGAGGAATTTAAGTCCTCCGAGGACGTGGTTTGCAGCGTCAGCTTCTTTAAAGTACTGCTGTAGCTCTGGGTGACAAACCTAATCTGATTTACCATGTAATTATAGGTATTAAGTTGCAGCGTGCTCACGGGTATATTCAGCTTCAGGATCCGTGGTATTTTGCAGGCAGGGACCGTGTGATCAAACTCGAGGTCTACACAGAGTTGAGGATGCTTTTGACTTACAGCAGCCCAGAGCTCTTCTGAGATGACTGGTATATATTTGTCCAGGCGCTCACAGAAAATGTCTAAATGGGTGAAAGCTGCTCTGTCGGGCTTGAGCAGTTCCTGAAATACATCGTCAGACAAACTGGCATAGTAAACCCCCAAGGCTGAGAGTTTGGGACATGCTCTGAGAACTTTCCTAATGGTGTCTGGTGCCACGTTGCATACCAGGGTGCGGTTGTTGATGAACAAACTGTGCAGGTTTGGGTTGGTGGTAGCTACGAGTTCAACAAGCTCATCATCGAGAGTGAAGGGCATTTGTCGAAAATCAATGTGCTGAAGATCTATCTGGTTCTCAGTGTTGCATATATTCCGTATGCTCTGTAGGATGTCCTGGCCAGAGTAGAAATAGGGGTTCTCCCCGTGGCACACAATGCACAGCTGCTGCAGTTTGTGGTTCTGTTTTGCCAACACATCCAAGATGCGTGTCACATTCTTCCGGTTGGCCTCCTTGGACTGGTCAAACGCAATCTTCAGGTGTTTGATTTGGCTGAGGAACTGGAGCAGGCTCTGCAGCATGCCTTCCTCATCCTCCGAATCACAGCTGGAAGGGTAAAACAAACTCTTAGTCACTGTGAACGCTGAGCTGAGCAACCACAGAGCAGACACGCTCCTTTACTAGTCTTTCTGCAAACATCAACAGATTCCCCAGACGTTTCTTCTCACTTGATGCCTGGAGAGTCACTGTAAGGCCAAACACCGAAGGAGTCAGGAGGTGAGAGGTGAGTCCCCAGAAAGACCCATCAGAGAAGTAAGTGCCGTGATGAAGTCGACTAGTTAGTAACTGTCTCTTGCCATTTTCAAACGGCAACTTAGAGCAATACTTCCCGTAAAACCCAAATCCTCAGCAGCAATTAAAAAACCCCAGCATCTAACACAATTTTCTCTATTACATAAAAGGGTGCTAGTCATGCAAGATATCATCATCACGCACAGAACGCACAATTAATGTCAATAATGTCACAGTAGGGTGATGTAAGTGTTTGACAGGCACCGAAAACATAACGGTCTCGTTATGCCTGCAGAGACACTCGGACATTAGAAACCCCTTCCTCGTACCTGATCTCTGTGAAATGCCAGACAGAGCTAGAAGAAACAGCTGTAGCCCACTGCCTGCACACCTGGAAGACCGCGTATCTATCTCGAAGAGAAAGGTAATAGAAAATTTGGATGAGGATTTCTTCTGGGATGTAGTTCCACAGTTCTGGAACCGGAGCGGGCATTTTGCTGATTCAGGCAGGTTTAAAAAATGGGAAAAACTTCCAAAACTGCAATTAATTCTCAAAAGTTCCTGTTCAGAAAAATGAACAACAAAAAAAAAGACACACACACATTAGGATTTATTTAGCAAATCAAACCAATGCAACTGGATCACAGAGGAGGTCAAAATTTTTTCAAACTTGAAATTTCACCAGATTTTGAAATTGAACACACAAATGAGGAAAATCTGTTGGCCAATTGTTTTGCACAGTTTTTTCAATCAATCCTAAGACGACGGGTGATACTTTTCAAGAGTTAAAGATGGCAGATCAAAGCTGGGGGTGGGGGGTGCGGGGGGGAAAGCCTTTTTTTCCTTGCAGTGAGGTTTCGCTACTCTGAGTAATAAAAATGTGAGGGAATTTTCTAGTACTGCTGCACCGGTATTCAAAAAGCTGAGACAGATTTCTCAAACTGTGGGGGGAAAAAAACCTCTTTGCAAGCAGAAGCTCTGCACAGAAAACAGCCTCACACACCCATTTTTTACTGATAGTGAAACAGAAGGGCTATAGTAGAAACCGGCAGCTTAATCACAGTGGTCCTTGCCGGTGAGGAGATGGTGGCAGTTTGAAAAAAGTGTTTTATTACTGTGACTCCGGTTCTCAGAAATTGCATTTATACGTGTCTGACTGAGAAACGGAAAAGCCTATTTTGATTATTTTGTCCCTGCCCACGGCAGGGGGGCTGGACTAGATGACCTTTAGAGGTCCCTTCCAACCCCAGCTACTCTATGATTCACCTTTCATGCAAACTATAATGCAAAAGAATAAGCGCCTGGGAAGGCGGCTGAGGTTCGTAGCAGCAGACCATTACCTAACTTCATTCCTCTTCTTCCAACGTGCGCTGCACCCAGCTTCTAGGATTTCTGCACAAAAAAAACTACCAACATGACATATTTTTTCAACCCTCCCATAAACAAGTGAGGGAATTTTAAATGCAAACATTCCCCTTCCTAGGCTAGCACTGGAGCACGGGCCAAGTCTCGCAATCTCACTCTGAATTCCACGGCGTGCCCTCTTGCTTTCGAAGCCCCAGGTCCCGGAGTCACAGCATTATCTCAGCATCGCAGGTTTCGCTTAAATGAAAACCTATGCTTCTAGATATCCTCGAAGTAGGGAAAAGAGTTGAAAAACATGAAGCAAGTACGGAGTAGCGATGCAAAAAGCATAATGCAGAGAGGAACACAATTGCACATTTTTCTAGAATACGCTGCTTTGAAGTGTGACTCATTATTTTGAGTGCGAGGTGGCAGTAGCATAGCAGCTATACTATCTTATCTACCATCGTATCGGTGACAACCCCCTTTCCACCCACCGCCGAGCTAGAACAGCCAAGTGATACAGTCCTGCTTCCTCCCTGGGAACTTGCTATCTTTTGTCATTTTCTCTGACAATCACCTTGACAGCTCGGACCCTGCTCTTCTACTTTTAGCTGCTTTTAATACCGTCTCTAATACACGGTTGCCAAAATGTTAAACTGCTCTTTGCCCTACATGAAATCTTACGTGTTCAACTCCTTTCGTTTTCATTATGATGTTTTTCCTTAAAGCCCTTGGAGTCATGTGAAAAGGACCTTGAACCTCTCAGAAAGCAAGAGTGCATTTCTAGCTGTGGTGATTGCTTGGAAAAGCTTAAAAATATGGCCTGAGAGCAGAAAGGCAGGCAGAAAGGCAAAACTATCAGTGTTACTTTAAGTAATTGCATGGCTTTGAGTCAGTGAGGGGCACGGTTCAGGGTCTGTGAATGCTGCGGGTTGGCTTGGGTCTACTCGGGTGCCTGCCCTGGTGAGAACAGCCGGGTTCGGACTGCATCTCGTGAGCCATCAAGGATCTCCGCGCTTTATTAACCACATGATGGAGGAGCGCTGCTTGTTGCTGCTCCTCAGCACAGCAGGCCCCAAGGAAGCCAGGCAGACGCTGGCTGGGAGAGAGCGGCCAGCAGCCCAAACAGGAACAGGCGGTGCTGCAACCGGGCGAGACGCCCGACGCGCCGGGGCCTGTTCGGACTGCATCTCGTGAGCCATCAAGGATCTCCGCGCTTTATTAACCACATGATGGAGGAGCGCTGCTTGTTGCTGCTCCTCAGCACAGCAGGCCCCAAGGAAGCCAGGCAGACGCTGGCTGGGAGAGAGCGGCCAGCAGCCCAAACAGGAACAGGCGGTGCTGCAACCGGGCGAGACGCCCGACGCGCCGGGGCCTGGCCGCCTCTCTCCCAGCGAGCCGAGCAGCGCGGGGAAGCCCCCCGCCACGGCACCCCCTCCAGCCCCACGTAGGCCCTGCCAGGCAGTTTGGGAAGGGGCGCAGCGTACCTCTCGGAGCAGAGTCCGTCTTCCTCTGCGCTCCCTGCCTGCGGCTCCCAGCGTGGGCTGCGCCCCAGAGGGAGGAGCGGAGGAGGAGATGCCAAAAATAACAGCCGAGAGAGAGGCGCCTTCCCTGCGCACGGGCTGGGAGCCGGGATGCTGCGCTGTCGTTTATGGGAACACACAGATTAATAGCCCCGTCTTCCTCCTCCTTCAGCAGCCGTCCCCCAACACCCCGCTTCCCTGCAGGGCCCCAGCACTGATCCTTCCCGCGCTGCAGCCGGCCAGCAGCTGCCAGGCTCAGGGGGAGCCTGTGGTCCCCCAGCCGCGCGTTCCCCAAGCAGGCACGCCACTGAATCCCGACACCCGGATCTTGTGCCGGCTGAGCCCCCTGAGCCGCAGCCTCTCCCCTCACATGCATCTTTACTTCCCAAACGGGAAACAACAGGGCGAAACTCCCAAGTGCTTATCAAGCACTTTGATTTCACCACACAGGATGCTCCCTGAAAGCACGCACTCAGCAAGGGTTAGTGGAAGAGAAACTCGGCTCTCAGCTACCCTTTCCCTTTTTACCCCCTCAATGTGCAGCAAACAGATTAGCTTCAAGGAGAAATGTTTAAGGGACACGGGTGGGTGATGGTCCCCACAGCAACTCGCCCTGTGGTTCCCACCTGGCTTGTCTTTTATAGGGGAAGGTTGGGATGTTCGGGCTCATTTAACCCCATTAACCCTTAAATGCATGAACTCACGAGTTGCTTCTTAAAGAGTCAGCAAGTAAATGCCTGGTCTCCAGAAGCGCTGGCACCACCAGGCCACTGACCCTCAAGGGGACTGCAGTTGCTGCCTGACCCTGTAAAGGAGAGCACCCAGCAGAGCCAGCCTGGATTAACCCCTTTAGGGATTTATTTCAATTATATTTTTCCTTTGGCAAACAAATTCGCTTATATTGTTAAAATGCTGTTGTTGTAAAATAGCATTAAATAGATATGTATTTTTTTTATATATATATGTATATATAAAAAAACCTTTTATAATGTTTTCCACTTTTGTTTGAAGTTCAGTTCCCCAGGGAGTTTGTGCAAACCAACTGCCAAGCCAGAGCGATGGCAGCTAGCATGTGGGCACAAAAATCTGGCCCCAGGCCCATGCCAGCCGGGGACAAACAAGGGAGCAGCTGTTACCCCTCTGCTCCCGGGGGGACATCTATGCAAGACAAACGCAGCCTGGGCAGGAGGCTCCCACCTGAGCTTGAGCAATGGAGACCCAAATCCAGCTCCTTGGCTTTGCTTGCCACAGAACCCCTCGTGGACTCAGGAAAAGCTGCTTTACGCTCTCTACCTGTCCGTTCAGTTCGTCAGAGGAGCACAGCGGAGTTAACAGGCTCGCCTGGCCCAGAAAGAGGCGGGAGACCGTTTAGGTATCACTGCAGGAAGGGCTAAACCAGAACGCCCAGCAGAATTCAGCAGCTATATTGACACCATCATCTTACCCCTCCTGTAGGAGATGCGAGGACCAGCCGATGCGTCCCTACCTGCCTGCTGAGCCTGCTGGATTTGCCTGGAGAAGGGAACTCCACATCGTTAATCCCTCTCCCCTCCTGAGCAAACGGACGCCCCTGGATGCTGTCACAGATGCTGCAGTTTCTGCGTTCCACAACTAAATTATCCTAGGACACCTTTTCAAAATGAGCTCCAGAGAAAGGGGGACATGAGAGCCGAACTTCCTCCGCTGCTCAGTAGTTACTAACCCAACCAACCTTCGTTTCCACCGTTCACTCTCGTTAGCAGCATCACGGGGGAAAGCTGAAGAGTGCCGGCCAGGATCCATCAGCCTTGCGGTGCTGTCAGCCACAAACTACGCAGGGGGTTCAAGCAACCCCGCTTTCCTCCACCCCTAACGGACCAGGGGCACACACCCAGTCCCAGCCGGTGGGCAGCTCCTAAGCTATCCCAACAGAGTAATTTCTGACCCTCTTACATATCCTCACCTACACGTGTGACCAAGTGACCGAAGCTGGGTGGGCATTCGGCTGCTGCCGGAGCCACCCGCCGCGTTGTGGCGCGGAGACCCGGAGGCACCAAGGCACGGCAAGAACCGTTCAGGCTTCCTCAGCAAACGGCATCCGTCCCCGTCGGCTGGCCTCGCCGCCGGCTGCGGATGGAAGTAACACAGGCTGAAATCCTGCTCTCGGGGCTGTTTTTTTGGGACAGTACAAGAAAAACGGAAGATTTTCATGGGAAGTGGAATACCCCTTGCATTTCAATGGGGTTTTGGTTTGGGTTTTTTTTCGCTTCTCCGTTAACCCCCCCTCCGCCCGCACCCAGCCCGGTCCCCGCCGGCGGCGGGGCCGCCCGG